TATTGATTAATCACAATTCAACTACTGCACATCACCTTCCTCCTTCTCTGCTGGCTCCACAACTCCATGTTTAGCTGGGGGAGTTATTTCTGTTGGTATCCTCCTAGCCCACATATCAGGATGGAATTTGGGACACCAGTCCCTCAGCCTGCCATCTTCACAGTGAGCTGAAGCCAGCAGTGCCCCGTTGCTAGGCTCAGAGTGGTGCTCATTGGGAAAGGGTCCAGCTTCCCCTTACCAATGCATTCACTTTGGGAAAGTTATTTGTGTGCCCTTTGCACCCCAGAAAACTTTTATCCTTGTTTTTTTGGAGGTGAGGGATGAACTGGAGGGAGCAGCCCGGCTCTGATGTTTGAGCAGAGTTGGGAGAGCATGGGGAGCCTCAGTGCAGAGCCAGAGGAAAAAGCATCTGCCATGCCACCAACCTCCTACACTCCTTTCTTGAGCCACAGCCCAAGAACATGGGAACCAAAAATCCTTTTGGGGACCAGGTGTCTGGAAAACCCCTCATCACTCCCATAAAACAAGGCATCTGGGGGTTCCCCCTGGTTTTACAAAGTGCCCAGCAGCTCCTGGCATGGAGGGTCCAGAGATGTGACCCCTGCCTCAGCTTCCCTCTGCACAAGGGAACAGGGATGTATCCCCTTCCCTGGGGTCTTCCCAAACTGCACAGATGGACCCTGAGGAGCACCAAGCTGCTTCCTGGGGATGAACAGGACAGCTCAGCACTGCTGAGCACCCAGCACAACCCTTGTGGCACTAACTTTCACTTCAGCAAGAGGTCCCTGGGTCAGGAATGCTTCCAACATCACTCCCCTGTTGGCCCCAGGGGCAGAAAGAAAGGAGCTCTCACGGCTTGCAGAACAGAGGGTCTGAGGCACTGATAGCTGTACGTATAGATCATATATTTGTGTGTGTAACTCTGCACAGAGAGCTGCATCCTTACACACCCGCACAGGTAAATACTTCTAGATAGTGACCTCTTCAGATTAAAGTCCAAGGCACTTTTTACAGTGAACAGGTTAAAGCCATAGTTTAAAACATGCCTGTTTCTGGGTACAGCTCGGGTTTATGGCAATGCTGTGGGGATGGGCTGTTGTCATATGGGCCAGCCCCCACTCCTGTCCTCCAGCTGAGAGACCGGCCCTGAAGGAGGAAGGTAAGCCCAGGACTGGATCCTGACCACAGAGACATGCAAGCAGCTCCCACTGGAAGGTGCATGGGCAGTGCTGAGACCCCAGCGGGGGAAGAACACTTTGGGCAGAAGAAGGAGCAGAGCTGGGTGCAGGGCACCAGGGCCCCCAGCCAAGAGCACCCACTGGGCAGGTGGTTCTGGAGCCCTGCCTGGTGCCTCTTGGGATTCTGAGGTGGCTCATCCCATAGGGAAATAATGCCATGGAGAAGCTTTTTCTCTCTCCTGCAAAATCCCCTCTCTTCATCCTTGGACCCTTTGGATACTTTTTAGGAGGGAGCTTGGAGTTAGGTGAGAAGAAGCTCAGAGCAGTACAGAACCTGGCAGCAGAATCTTCCCAAACTGCTGAGCAATCACCACCATTGCCCCCCACCAAACATACCTGGTGGCCAAGGCACAGGGCTCTGGGCTGCCTGGAAGATGCTGGGCAGCAGAAGCCCAAGGGAGAGTGGTGCAGAGGACCAGGAATCCCCAGGCAGCCCCAGACCTAGCTGGCATCAGCAGAGGCTCAGCCCTGGCCTCTCAGAAGAACCAACATCTTTCCTCCATCAGAGCTTGTTTCTGCAGGGAGATTTCAGGTCTGGGGTCCAGCAAGGAGCATCCAGACCTCATGGCAGCTCATTGCTGCTGGGGTTCCACTGGGTTGGACTGGCCTGGAAGGGTGAGACCAGCACAGCTCTGACAGTGGTAACAGAGTGGCAGTGACAGCAGCTCTGATCAGGAAGGGCCAGTGCAGGGACTTTTAGACTTTCTCTGGACAAAAGCAGCAGGAATTGGTTCCATAGGTGCTGCTCACTCCCAGACACATCATGCTCTGTGAAGACTGGCCAGGACAAAGGGTGGCTGCCAAACAGAAGTTTAAGACTTATGATCCAGTAGGGATCAGTTTCAGCAGCTCAGGGGTTGGAGGTAAGGAAGTGATGCTCTCTGAGGCTCAAGGAGTCCATAGAATCACAGAATAATGGAATCAGAGTAGTTTGAGTTGGAAGGGACTTAAAGCTCATCTCATTTCCCATGCTATGGGCTGGGACACCTTCCACTAGACCAGGTTACTCCAAGTCCCATCTAACCTGGCCCTGAACACTTCCAGAGATGGGGTAGACACAGCTCTGGGCAGCCTGTTCCCAGCTGAAAGGCTGAGACAAAACAGTCCCTGCAACCTCATCTCATCTCATTTCTCTTTTATGCTCAGGGTTTTGTCCTCCTATGCCATCATATCCTGAGGTTGAACAAAAGCTGCAGCGCCCCAGGGCAGGGTGTGAAATGTGAACTGGACATGTCCCAGTCTCTTCTCCCAAGTAACAAGTGAAAGGACAAGAGAAAATGTCTGAAAGTTGTGCCAGAGGAGGTTTAGGTTGGATACTGGGAAAATTTCTTGTGTGTAAGTGTGGTCAGGCTCTGGTATAGGCTGCCCAGGGCAGTAGTGGAGTCCCCATCCCTGGAGGAATTTAGAAGATTTGTGTGTGTGGCACTTGGGCACGTGGGTTAGTGGTGGGCTTGGTGGTGGTGCTGGGTTAACAGTTAGACTTGATGTTCTTAGAGGACCTTTCCAACCTCAATGATTCCATAATTCTATGAAAATGTGTTCTGCAGCACTGCTTTCTTAAGAGCCTCCATCCTGGAGGAAAAGGGGAAGTTTGACTCTTGCAGAGCTTGTGCCCAGGGAGCAGAGTCCCTCCTTCTGCTGGAGGAGACAACCTGGGGAAAATGGCTTTCCAGAACCTGGGAAAAAAGGGGAGCCTGACCTTTCTGTAGGGACATGCAAAGCTCTGGTGCCATTGGGCTACACACAGATCCAGACCTGCTAGAGGTCAGCTTCCAAGTACTGTGAATGAGTACAAGGGGGATAAAGGATAACAACTTGGGTTCTGCACTTCTCCCTGTCCCCCATCCTCACTGGCAGTAGTAGCTGTACTCAGAAACAGACATTTTTGGCAGCAGCCTGCTGTTGCTGCCTGCTAACAACCGTGTTGGGTACAAAACCATAATTGAAAGTTACCATAACCATCATAATATAGCAATATATTTCATAGTTAAAATAAACTATTATGCTTTCCCCTATCAATAAAAAAGAAGCGAGCAGTACAGAGGCAAGATGCAAACCCAGGTCAAAGCTCCTTAAGTCTGGACAGAAACATCCATGAGTTTGCAGAGAGATCGTGGAATTTTTCTGGTATTTCTAGGATAGTTCCTTGCAGGCGGAGCAGGAAGGAGAGTCGTGGAGCAAAAAAAGCCCCCAAGACTGTGCCAAAAATGGGACTAGCTGGGTCAGGTGGGTCCTGGAGGGGCATTGGCCCCACTGGACTGTGGCATCAGACGCTTCCCAGCTTGCAGGAGGTCGGCATCGCTGCGATTTTCCTCTTGTGCTGTTCCTCCACCTTGGTTGCTGATCTCGGTTCTTCTCTCTGTTTGTCCTGATGTCCCTTAGGGTACCCAAAGTGATCATCTCAGGTGTGTGGACAGGACTGGCTGCAGAGCATTTACTGGAGCTGTTCACTGGGGCTGTGCCAGCCAAGGCTGCTGTTGACCAAGAGCTGCCATCAGGGAGCAGCTCTGCACGGGCACGGCGGGCTGGGCTGCCCTGCCCTGGGGCTCCTCACCATGCCTGCCCTCACTGTGGCCTCAGCTGGGCTCTGGGGTCCTGGCAGCAGGGCTGGAGGGGGCTGGTCTCGGTGCTGGCCATGGTGGGGTCCGGTACTGGGAGCAATGGATCAGGGCTACTGGTACCAGTGCTGAAAAACTGGCAGGGGAGTGGGTGAAGGGGTGGGATATGGGCTTTGGGGATTGGGATGGGCATTCAGGGGTGTGGAAAGGGGGGTGCAGGGGTGAGATAGGGGTGTGGGAGTGTGTGGGATGCAGTGTGCAAGGTGCAGGGCATAGGGTGTAGACCCTGGGCTGCCAGGTCCCAGGCAGAAGGGTTGTTGCACTGCAGGTTGTGCTGAGATGAGGCCAGGGAGGAAGGTTGTGGGGTGCACAGGGACCCACTGCCCCAGCCTTGTCGAAATCCCACTGCAGCAGCAGCTGCTCTTCCCCAGAACAAGGGTCTCTTGCTCCAGCTGCAATCCCAGCTCTTGCTGTGGTCCTTACCACCTCCAGCCTTGGGGCCTGCAGCTGGCAGCACCTGCTCTTGTCTCACTTGGTTGGATTTCCCAGACTTGATTGTGTGCTGGCAGGGAGGTTCCTGGGTCCCTGCTGGCAATATTGATCTTTAAGAATCAATACTTCCTCTGGCTCTCTGATGCCCCAGGACACGTCTTCACACCTCATTCCATGCACAGCACCGTTCCATGGGCAGTTTGCTCCTATCTGAAGCCCAGAAAGCATTTTTCTCCACCAGCTGCCTGCAGGCCAGGGAAAATGCTGCATTTCAGGGTCTTTCTCAGAATTTCTTACATATTCTCCATTGCTATGCTGGCAACCTCCTGAGAGAGATCAGCAGGAGCTTCTGCTGGGCACGATGGACAGGGGGGCACCCACAGGCATACAGGGAGCAGCAGCTGGGCTGAGAATAGATCATGGGGGGCTTCCAAGGCAGCAGTGAATCCCCAGCCATCCGTGGGATATCAATGATAATTACAAGAGCTTGGAAGAGCAGCTCTTGCCCAGCAGCTGTGTGTCTCCCACTGGCCAAGGACCAGCAGCAATGGGCACGTGCCTGCCTGAAGGCAACAGGGATGACTGTATTTGTCCCCTGCTACCAACACCTCTGCAGCACAGGGATCTCATTTTGCAGTGCTCCTGCTTTTGCCTTACAGCCTTCTTCCTCCTCCTCCTCCTCCTCCTCCTCCTCCTCGGGCCAGCATGGGGGCAGTACTCCTCACTAACTACTGCTTATTTTCTATGTAACTCCAGCTGCAGGGCACAAGGAGTGGAACCACCTCACACCACTGGCAGCAAGGAAATTCTTCGGCATTGGGGGTGTAGGGGTGGTGGTGCAGGAGGGTGCTGTGTCTCTACCCCTACGTGTGCACAAAATCCAGCATTATTTATGGAAGGGAAAAAGTTACAAAGGAGAGCATTACAGGCTGAGTATACCTGGAGTAGCACAGTGACTGATTACAATTACTGACACTGCTGGGTGAGGTGTAATTAATATTGCAGAGTAATTACATAGTTACTTCATCTGTTTAAAAATATATAAATACTCTCTGCTGAGTTTTCATGGAAAGCAGCAAACACCAACCCCAAAGTCAGAGCCTGGCATGGCTCCATGCAAGGATCCAGGAAAGCCAGATCATGACACTGGGGAAGAACTGAGGAGGAAAAAGGGAGAAATGGTGAATGCAAAACAGAAAGTGGCTGGTTCCAGAAGCAGCCAGGTGATGCCAAGGGTACCTCAGGAAGCTGAACACCAGCAAAAAAGTATAATGGAGTTTGAGTTGCTGCACTTTGGCAGGCATGGGCAGCAGTGCCTCTGCCAAGACAGTGCCAGAGTGCTGCTGCCCTCCACCAAACCCAGCAGAAGTGGCATGAAGGCCATGGGCTTTGTTTTAAACAGATGAAGCACCTGCCCCTGCTACCACATCACTTGCCAGTGAGCTCCTGCTTGATCCTGGTGGATTCGACATTGCCAACTGGGCTCAAGCATGGACGTTCCCAGCACAAGTGGAGACAGTTGGAGCTGATGGGGTGTTCATCCAGCACTTCTGAGACTGCTGCAATGAGCCCAGTGGCTTTGCAAGATGCTGGGAGGCTCCCAGCAGGCAGTGATGTGAGCACCTGGAGACCCCTCAGTGCCCGAGCTGGCCTGCCAGCCCCATCACGGGCCACCAACACACTGGCTGGGGGCAGCGCTGCGTGGCCCTGCACGCTGTAGGCACTGCTTTCCTGGCTCTGGCATGTGTCTCCAGGCAGAATATGACACTAAGGACCAGAAAGAAGAAGTGTCCATTGTTCTTCTCTGGGTAGAAAACACTCACAGCTCCAGAGAACTCCACAGGAAGGTTACAGCCAGACATTGTCACCCAGCTGTCAGAGTGAGGGGGCTGTCCTGTGGGTCCCGGCAAGAAGATGGAAGGGAGCATAGGCAGCGTCAGCCAGAGCCTGCATAACGAACCTCCCCACACTGGCATCTGCCTGGCGAGGTTTGGCAATCGTGAGAGGGGCAGGGGGCCAGGGGGGTGCCCCAGGGAGAAAAACTCTCCCTCCGGTGTCTCCGTTGCTTCAGTGCTTCTGACTTGGTGTTTTGTTTTGTTTTGTTTTCAAATGTGAAGACCTGAGATTGAGCGTGGGTTTTCCGTCTGCCACCGGACGCCATGGCACAGGCTGGCCCAAGGCATCACCTTCTGTCCCCTTCCTTCACCACGTGTAGAGGCACCTGAACAGGGATGCAATTCCCGATACCAAGGCGTTGGCAAAGCTCCGAGCATTGCTCGGCACTGCTGGTCCCACTGGCTCCAGCTGAAGGGTCCTGCAGCGGTTCAAGGACCAGAGGAAAGTTCACAGAGACCTCATGATCTGTGTGGAAATGCTTCCCCTGTCCACGGTGGGGCTGAGGGGCTGTGTTTTAGCAGCTGCTTGAGCTCGTGTAAGGGGTGGGGAAGGAGGTGGAGCTGACCCCAATGGGGCTCTCAGAGAGAGGTGTCTGGGGGGTGCCCACGGGCACACCAACGCCCCGGGCCTCCAGCACGGCGGTGAGCAGGCGCTGCTGCTGCTGGCGCAGCATGTCAGCCATCAGCAGGGGCAGGGAGTTGAAGCTGGCACTGAGCTGCTCCAGCTTGGATTCCAGGCCACTGATCTGCTTTTCCAGGTCCTCACTGCGGTCATTTAGCTCTGTGATGAGGTCGTACATCACGTTCTGCATCTGGGGAGGGGACACAGTGGCGGGGTTAGTACCATGGCTGGAGGGGTTAGTGCCACTGCTTCTAGCAGAGCTCACCCCTTTACCCCTTTCTGCCCTGAGAGCTGCCCCATCTCAGCCCACCCCAGGTTCTCCAGGGGTTCTGTGACTGCAGTTTGGCTCATCCCTGGCCATCAAAGTGAGGAAACTCTGCTGGCCCTGTGCTGCTGAGCAGTGGTACCCCTTGCACAAAGGGTTGCAGGGAACCCCTAGCTCGTGAATGTGTATCTCCTGCTTTGCAAGGGCAGCCATCCCACAGCAGCTATTCCTTGGTGACATTTACTGAGTCGGAGCATTTTGCGGTCAGCCAAGTCTGCTTTAGTTACTCTGAGTGAAGAGAAACACTCAGTCTGGCCAAGCCACAGGGTTCCTGTGGGACTTGCCTTTGAGAGGTCGACAAGGGTGTTGGCTTGGTCACTCAGCTTCCTCTGCTCCATCTTCACGCTCCGTAACCTGGAGAGAAGGAAAGAGCACATGGCTGTACTCCCTCCCCTCTTTCAAACTGCATCTGGAGACCTGCCTGCATATTGGGCAATGGAAAACTGCCCCCACACCCCTGCCAGGGACAGGATCCTGGTTCATCTGGAGCTCAGTTGCCCCCAGCCCACTGCACAGCCTCTTACTGGTGGATGGCTTGTAGGAACTTCCTCTGGTGCTTTCTGACTTTAGCATGGTCGATCTTCTTCAGCAGCTTGGTGTGCTTGTAGATAAGCCACGTTTCCCGCAGGACGTTGGCTGCCGCGTTCTTGATCTGAAAAGGAAGAGTGGCTGCAGGTCACCAGCCAGGTGGGATCTCAGAGACACTGCTGTGGCTCTGCCATGAACCAAAGCTGCACTTGACCTGCCCCAGCAGGAGCGAGGCGCTCGGCTCTGCACCCGCACGCTCTCCTGGACTGTTCCAGGGGATGCTGGGCACTTCAAGCAGGAGTAAGAGAGGGCAGAGCTGTTGGCCCCTGGTGTACCCACATCCCAGTCCTGCTCTGCACTCATGCTCCAGCACTTGACTCTTTGCCTACACACAAAGTTGTACCATAAGCCTCAAGAATAAAAGATCCCAATTTTTTTCTTGATTCCTGCATCCATCTGCCAATCTTGGCAGGTCCCAGACCTGCAGGCCCCAGTTGTGCTGCCGGCGTGGGGACGTGGCTTCCGCAGACTCTCCGGCTAAACTGCAGTGAGCTGCTCACTCCAGGAGGAACTGGCATGGAGCCTGCAGATCCCTATCACTGGCCAGTGCAGTGGGGCTCACCAGCTGTTTTGCTCTCCCAGCCTGCTCACACCAAGGTCCTGACTATTCCTGGGGTGTCAGGGCTTTGTCTGGGGCTCTGCTCTCTGGGGTGAAGCGGGTGCCCTGGTTGCTTGCCACCACTGGTTGCATTTCCAAGGGCTGCACTGATGCTCGTTTTGCCACCATCCCCTCTAAAACATTCTAGCATGCAGACCCCATTATGTGACATGCCACTTTTGGTTGGCTGATGCTTTGTCATGATGAGGCTGCCAAGACCAGTGACCTCCTGCTGCTCCTACATGCTACCAGGGATGTGACACCAGCCCCTGGTATGACAGTGACCCCATGAACACCCTACTGCAGGCTCTGGGTCCTTTCTCAAGGGAGCCTCACAATGTGGTTCTTATCTGTGGTGGACACTGAATCACTAAAACCCAGTTGTCTTCCTGACAGGAAGAATGAGATAATGCTCTGGAAGAGGAGGGAGTATGCTCCCAAAATCACCTAAGTCCCTGGAAGAGAGCTGCTGCTCTTTGTCTCAGTGTAACACTTGTCCCTGTGCTATATCCATAGCACTTGGACAACTTCCTCAGCAGTGGTACCTGCAGGACCCACATCCGGAGGTGCCAACACCTTCCTCTCCTGTTGTAGCTTCACTCAGTGATGCTGGCACCTTCTTCCACTGTGGTACCCACAGGATCCAGAGGTGCTGACACCTCCCTCCTGCCACGGTAGCCCAAATCCCCAGCTCCTGGCACACAGCAATGCCCCCACTCCTGCTGTCCCCCTTGGCACCTTACCCGCTTCGTCAGCTGTGTGTCCATCATGAAGTTGTGGACATGCTTCTCAGCTTTGGTGAGCTCCAGCTTCCTGGCCACCACAGCCACCACCAGTGCTGTACATCCAGCACCCTGTGCAGGGACATCAGTTGGGAAATCAGTTCGTCACTGTTTTGTAACACCAGCACTCCCACCCTCACCCTTGAAATTGCTAATTAACTAAAGCTACATGTCCTTCCCATTATCTCAACAAGATCTTACAGAGCCTGGGTCTCCTTGAGAGGCTGATAATGGCTCTGTAACTAACAGGAGAGGCCAGGGCTACTAACAAGGTCAGCAGTGGTCAGTGGGGAGCCTGTGCCACTGCAGGCCAGGGATCTGCCCCATGCCAGAGCCCTGTGGGACGGGGAGCCCTCCACTCCCAGAGAGGTCTGGGCTGGGAGAGCAGTGGGGAAGCACCAGGCAACGTGGGTGAGAGCAGAGAAGGGGCCCCAAATCAGGACCCTTCAAATTGCCCCACATCCCAACTGCACCAGCTGGGAGCTCCCTTATCCCAGCGATTAGGGCCAGATGTGTGTGGCAGCCACCATCTCCAGTGCACGTCTGTGCTGAGGTGTTCTTTCCAGAGCCTCCCTGCCATGCTCCTGAGCTCTGCTCATACCAGCTGGGTCACTCCCCCCACCGCCATGCTCTGGCAGAGTGCTGTCAGCCTGGCAAGCTCTCCTTAAAGAGTCATTAATTAACCTGGTACCCTGAATCCTTCAGTGTCCTCAAAGGTCCTGCTGCACACCCTCAGCTGCCACCACCTCTCTCCTCCTGGATGAGTGACTACCCCTGGTGCTGACTGGGGCAGTCCAGCAAAGCCTCCAACCCCAGGAGGTGTGGGGGTCTCCATTCCCTGGGGTGGGGGGCTGTCCTGGGGGTGGTGGGACACTTTGACAGACAGTGTCTCACTTCAAAGTCACCACTGGCTGGGGAAGAGTTTCAGAAGCCTGCAGCACCAGAATCCCCTCGGCTGAGCCAGCAGCTCCTCCTCTGCTGGCAGTTGCTGCATCACCCCCATCCACAGGGATTTTCTCCCTTGCTGGGCTCTCACCAGCCACACCAGCCTTGCTGCATCTGGCCTCATCCAAGACAGATCAAAGACTTGCAAAGGATGAATACCTCTTGGTGGAGCCTCCCCAGCTGATGGTACTCATGGGGTGTCAGCTCGGTCTGCCCTAGCTGGGAGGAGGGATGGCTCCATCCCCGGGGCCTGGAGCTGAGGTGGGCAGAGCTGATGGCTGGGGTACATCTGTGGGGAGCTGGGACCATAGGACCCCCAGCTGCTCCTGGAAAGTCCCACCAGCCAGGAGATCTCGTGGTGGGCTTCCAGGCGCAAGTACACTGGAGGCACTGGAAAATGGCGACCTTTTGGCCAGAAGGAAAGGAACCCCTGGCAGATGAGCAATGGAAGCCAGATGGTGTGGACCAGGATGGCCAAGGGATGCTCAAGTGCCCTTCTCCTCCCTGGGGACATCACTGACTCCACCAAGGCCCTCCACCCTTACTGAATGTGGGTCTAAATCCACTCCAAATTCATCAGCTGAGACAACTCTATCAACTTCCAGGCTATGAGACCTCAGAGCTGAAGTCACTAGGCCTTGTACATTGACAAAACAGCTGAGAAACAGGCCCTGGTAAATTCCAGTGGCCCCTCCTCTGCAATGGAGACAGGCAGAGCCCACAGAATGGAAACCAGCTTGGCATGACCCTTACCATGATGCCAGTGAGCAGGCAGACTCCCTTCCCACAGTAGGTGTGTGGGACCATGTCCCCATAGCCGATGGAGAGGAAGGTGATGGAGATGAGCCACATAGCACCCAGGAAGTTGCTGGTTACATCCTGCTGGTCATGGTACCTGCCAAGGAGACAGGGACATCAGTGTCACAGCAGGGGACAGGGATAGATGGGGCAGAAACGGGGGGACCTGGGCACCGTGGCTCCCCCAGCACGGGCTGTGCTGGGGTACAGGATTAACAACACAGCAGGAAGTGCCATAGTAGCAGTGGTTGCACAATTTCTGGCACTGGAAAAGCCACATGGACAAAATGAGAGCAAAAGCTCAGTGGAAAGGGCTTCTGCTTTCAGTCAGACCTGTCACCACATCCCAGTCCTGTTGTGTGTCCCCGGTGCCATGTGGTGCTGCAGCGATATTTGGCTGATGGGAGAAAGAGCTGTGGCTCTGCAAAGGCCCTGACCACAGCAGCTCACCCCTGGCACCCTCCCTGCATCCCACTGGTGCTGCAGCCTGGGCTGTGGCACTCCAGCAGGCAGAGCTGCCAGCAGCCCCAGCAGAACTGCTGGGGATGGATCCTGTCGAGCCTCTGGCACAGGCTTGGCTTTCAGGAACAGAGGAACAGCTCACACACTCAAGACACAGCACATGTGGAGTGGCTGCAGCTTTGGGAATGCTGCAGATTTTCCAGGTTCCTGCTGGGGATGTGAGGTCAATGACCACTCTGGCTGTCCCAGACTGGCTGTGGCTCTTCCAGCAAACACGCAACCAGGGGCTCCAGCTGCCTCCAGCTCCCCAGGGCTGGGCAAGCACAGCCCAGCCATGCAGGTACGATTCCCAGGGATGTGGTGCTGACTCCTGGCAGCTGAGCAGGGCCTGCCCAGTCTCCAGCGGGACTCAGCCCTAAGCTGGCAGGGGCAGGCAGTGCCTTTACCCCACTATGAACAGGATGGTTGTTCTCCTGTCTCCCTGGCTGGCTTCTCCCAGCCTCTTCACAGGATCTGGAGAGGGAAAACAGATGGAGCTTTTGGCAATCCCAACTCCAAGATCATCGCTCACAGAGCAGTTGGGTTTTCTCCTCTTTTGAAATGTTTTTCCCTCAGCTGGAGACTCAGATGAGGTCCTGGTGCAGCAGAAAGCACCTTTGGCCATGGTGAGGCTCGCTCTGGGCAGGGTTGGCCAGGGGAGCTAGAGCCCATAACAACAGTGGTGCTCCCCAAAATTCCAGCGCCAGCAGTGGGGCACACACAATTATCCCATCCAGTGTCTTCTCCTGAGGAGAGCTGAGCCCACCTCATCCCACAGGGTGGAATGTCCCGAGGGAACAGCCCCAAGAGCATCATGCTGGACAGGGGGGTTACAGGCCTACTGAACGGAGGGACATTTTCTCTTCTGAGTAGCACTTTGAGCAAGAATTGACAAAGCAGAGGGGCTGGCCCACGCCACGGCTGTGCGGGCAGAAAGAGGAGCCCCCCGCTCACACCGAGGGCCGCTGCAATCAATCGGAGACCCCAGCACCGCTTGTCTGCCCGCTCCCGCGGGGGCCACAGCCCCCTCAGCGCTGCGGCAGCATCACCCTGCTGCCCTGCCCCGGGCTGACCCCCGCCCGCCGGTGCTCGGGGCGGCACGGTCGGCACACGTGCGGGCGCACGGGGGGCGGCGCTGGCGGCGGAGGCTCCGCGGGCGGCGGAGCGGCGGCCGGGCGGGCGGGCGGGGTTGCTAAGCGACTCGCCGCCTGCGGAGAGGTGCGGCCCCGCGGCGCGCACGGGAGGATGCTGCTGCCCCCACAGCCGCTGGGACCACAGCTCGGTGCCGAGGAGACGTGGCACCCCAGCCCCACAAGCGCGTCTTGGAGAGGCGCCACCGCCTCTGAACTGCCCGGGCCCAGCGGGTGCTGGTTGGGAATGGTCCTGCGAACGGCAGAAAACTGTTTTCCGGTGCTAGCGGGCAGCGTGGACAGGGGGACACGTCCTGGGTAACCCTTGTGGGAGCTGTGTGACACCCCCCAGGGCTGGTGCATCCGCAAGGGATATGGCATCCCTCACACATGGAGCGTGTCCCAGGGGTTCTGCGTTCCCCCAGTCCTGCATCCCCCAGGACTGACGCATCTCCAGCCCACCTGGGTTCTCTTCTGCCTCTCTGTACATCGAGGGAGGTGATGGCAACTGCGGTGCCAATGATCTGCAGTGCCTCGTCTGCATAATTTCTGGGGTTTTTTTTGTTCCTAATAGTTCTTCATTGCATCTTCCAGCCTAAGCCTTGCCAGGTGTTGGATTACCCTCCTGTGTGTGTCCTGGGTGCCTGTCCGCCTGTTCCCTGCTTAGGAGGCATAAACCACAATTTCTCAAACACAATTAGGCAGTGCCTGAGCATCCAGCTCATAAGGACGGCATCATTAAGGGAGGCAGGAAGGCAAATGCAGCCAGTAAAAGCTCATAAAATCTCAGTGTGCCATCCCACACCACTGCCACAGCACTTACAGCTGCCCTAATGCCCCTTTGCAGCGTGACCAGAGCAACGGGTCCCACCCTGAGGAAGGGAGGGTGGCCTTCTTCTCACTTTGAGAGCAATCTAGAAGCAATCTGGGTCTCCCAGGTAACCCTGGGATGCCAGTTGGCGTGATCCCTCACACCTTAGTTCCAAGGATGACACAAAGCTGCCACAACAGGGCAGCTTGTGGAGGACCTGCCCTCCCTTCCCCAGGAGCTGCTGGCAGCCTGCACTGTGGCTGTGGATAAAACCTTCTGGCACAGCACTGGGATGCCACCACCACAGCCCCCTGGTTCCCTCACTAGACAAAGAGTGTGGCAGGTCCCTGAGAGATGGAGGTGCAGTGATACCCACCAGGCTGGTCGCCACAGCAACCCCGGTGCTGAGCACGCTGATGCTGGCATGATGCCATCAAGCTGTGGGTATGTCACCACAGTGTTGTCATGGCAGTCAGTTGCAGCGATGCTAGAGCATGAGCCAGGCCCTGTCACCATCAGCACCTCTGGGTCCTCCTCATTCACAGCCCCCAGCTCCCACCACTCTCCTTGTCCCCCACCCATGCTCCTGGGGCTTCTGGCACCACACATTGCACCAGGACCCTGCCTGGCTTAGGCACTGTGCTGTGAGGACAGGGCTGACCCTGCTCTTCTTCCTGCCTGTGCAGACAATTTATCATCTGTAACAACAGGGCTCAGTGCAGGGAACCACTGAGGCCCCAGAGCCCTGCACTCCTCCTCCAGGGTGTTGGGACATCGCACCTCCACTGAGAATTCCAAACTGCCATGAATCCCAAACCACAAACTGATGAGCTTCCAGAGCCACTGCACATCATCACGCATTCCTGAACTGCCGCACATCCTGAACCGCTGCACATCCTGAACCACGGAGCATTCCAAACCTCCACACGTCCCAAACTGCTGCTCGTCATTCTTGTTTCCTGAACTACTGAGCATCCCAAACCTCCCTGCATCCTGAACCTCTGTGCGTCCTCAACAGCTGAGCATCCCAAACCTCCAGGCATTCCCAAGCGTTGAGCATCCTGAGCTGCCGTGAACCCCTAACCCCTGCTCATTCCAAACACCGTGAATCCCAGAGCACCACGCATCCCAAACGCCCTCACCTCTCACACACACGGACTGTCCACGCAGCGATGATCCAGAGGGAAATGCTGAAGACCAGCAGCACAGTCCCAGGGCAGATAGTCATGAGTGTCTTCATGACGAAGCGGGTGTTGAAGTTGATCTTGTTGAGTGCCCCAATGCTGCGCGAGGAGGCGTCAGTGAAGAGCTTGCTGTGCAGCAGCATCACCCGAGCGATCAGGTAGAGGCGCAGGAACATGGGGATAGACAGGATGATGTCCACGTCAGCCTCTGCCCGAGATGGTGTGTAGGAGAAAGCCAGGCGAGCTGTCCAGAAAAATTTGTACTCCCCGGGGATGGGGTGTATGGCACAAACCAGCATCTCCAGGCTGATGTAGAGGATGCGCTCGTACGTCATCGCTATCCGCCAGTCGTCAGCTCCATTGTCGATCACAAAGAGCTGCCAGGATGCAAAACCACGCGGTTACCAGCGGCCCCACAACCTGCCCACTGGCATCCCTCACCCTCCCTCCACAGGCAGTGGGGGTCAGAGCTAAGAGGAGCTGGGTGTGGCTCAGCCAGAAGCGCTGGGGATGGACGGAGAAGAAAAACATGGGAATGAGTCACCACCAAGCTCTCTGCTGCCCTGCTAGTGTGTGTCAGGGATGGCCTCGTTGCAGGGGACACCAAGAGCTTTAAGGTGCCTGGCCTTGAGCACACACCCAGGTACAGCACGGGGACAGCTCGCTCAAAATCTGGCTGGCAGGAACCCACTTCCTGGAATGTCCCCCTCATCCAGGCCACAGAAATGGGCAAGCTGTGGTGCCACAGAGCACCAGCACGAGTCACCCCAGTCCCCCTGCTCCTGGTGTTGCACTGATTTCACTGACAGTCATCACACCCTGAGTGCCAGGGCAATATCTGGGCAGTGAACACCACAGTCAGAGCATCCAGCTGCTGGCAGAGATGGGATTCAGTTGTCATGGCAACTGACGGTTCATCCTGGGTACAGCAGCTCCTCTCCCATCATCAGTGATGGAGTTGGGGTCTCTGCAGGGGCTGGGGAGATGGCAGCTCAGTTGGCCTCTCAGGGATGCCAGCAGAGCCCTGGGAGTCACCCACCCAGGTGACTCGGAAGGGGCAATCCTGAGGCTGCCATCGGCTTCTCCCTGCTGTGACAGGGACACCGGAATCACCCCAGCAGGAGGGATGTGCTCAGGGCCTCTCTGCAAGCAGCACTTGGCAAAGAAACCACCAGGAAGGGATCCAAGGGGGATGTGGCAGCTGTGCTGCTGTCCGTGTCCTCAATCCTGCAAGCGTGAAGCGATGCTGGCTTGCTCACAGAGCCAGGGCTGCACAGAGCCCGGGCAGAGGGTGAGAGGTGGCTGTGGAGCACGGCCCCAGCTGGCCCTGAGCCCGGGAACAACCCTGCTGCCCTGTCAGAGGCCCCAGTACACCTGTGCCAGCCGCCTCGCTGGCACGGCATGGCATTTGGGGCTCTCCCTGGGGATGGCAGGAGCCACTGGGACTGACTCACGGAGTGGCTGTCCCAGCCACCTCCCTTTCTGTAGGGAAAACTCTGCTCCTTTTAGCTGCTTTGTTTGAGAAATTGTTTACAAAAATGCTCCAAGCTGTCAAGGGAGATCCTCAGGCATTTAGCAAGCTGACAGCCTATTCCTTCCTGGAAAAGGGTGTTAAAATAAACAAATTAGCAAGCGGAAAAAGGCAGGAGCCTTTTGACTGTATGATGGGGAGTTGCCATAGGGCAGGGAAGGGAAGGAGCAAGATTTGGGCACGATTCCCCTGAGCCAGCCCCTCTCTGTTCTGTACCTGTAAAGCATCAAAACGGGTTTCCATGGAAACCTAGTGTGGTTCAGTGGTACCCAAGGGGGTATTTCCCAACACATCCAGCACCACTGGCTCCAGCAGAAGGAACAAGAGCGTTGGCCACCACATCTCCAGGAAAACAAAGCCCAAGAAAAGCCACCAAGACACCTCATGAGGATTAAAGTTTCACCAACAGCCTGAACAGCTCCAGGCACTCCAAGCACAAGGACGAGGGGTCTCTGCCCCTCCACAACACCTTGGCAGGAGCTGGCAGCACTGCCAGCACTGCTCTCCTCCACGGGTTGTGGTGATAATGGGGTGCTGGCAGAGGATGGCATGTTCTGCTCTAGGCACCAGAGACATCCGTGGGGTGCTGAGTGATGCCTCAGCCCCAGAGAAACTGAGGCACAGGAAAACCTTCAAAGGACTAATTAACACAATTAGCAGGATAATAGAATCACAGACTGGTGTGGATTGAACAGGACCTTAAAGCTCATCTCATTCCACCCACTTTCATGAGCAGGGACACCTTCCACTAGCCCAGGATGCTCCAAACTCCTTTCAGCCTGGCCTTGAACACTTCCAGTGATGAGGCAACCACAGCTTCTCTGGCTGAGAGGAAGAGGGAACCCCGAGGGAAGAGGCTGAAGTCATTTTTTCCCAGAGGCTGGGAGGTCTGACAAGTGCCATGGCCAGGTGAGCACAGTCTCCCACCTTGGCCAAGAGGTACAAGAAGTTGAGGATTTACAGCTCTGGCAGCCCCATTCAATTTTTGTTGGATTATCAGCAATTTCTTTATAACACTTGATAACACATACAGCAATGAGCAGCCAGCATAACTTTGTTTGGAGCAGATGAAGTCAAACTCATCTAATTCCCTGTCTTGACAGTGTAACTGGCCTGCAAAGCAGCTGGGATCATGGTGAGGTTCAGTCCCCACGTGCAGAGGGACAGCAGTGGCACTTGGGCTCTGGTCAAGGCAGGAGAGGTGGGATGACCTGTGTGCTGCCTGGGTGGATGTTGTGTTTGCACAACCCACTGCCAGGAACAACAAGCAGAGGAAACAGTGAGCACCGACGGCACAGCTCACCCGGCTGACCCCAACCACCGTCATCCTGGGGTAAATATTATTCCAGCAAGAAGCAGAGCTCTCAAATATTTGCATTGAGAAACTCACCCCCAGGCTTGGTCCCCATGGGGGCAGGCTGAGCTGGAGTGGGGACTGAGGCAGGCAGGGAGTGGGATGCTGCTGCCAGCCCCTACATGGCAAAGCCCCTCTGTCCCCAGCCCCAGGAGGGACACGGTGGGATTATGGCACTCAGGGCCAGGGGCTTTGACATCCCTTCCCAGGATGCTCCTTCTCCTGACTGGTGATTCATTCCTCCCAGGCCCTAAACAGGCTGGCATTGTGCCGAAGCACAGGGAAGCACAGCCTTCCTGGAACAAACTGGGAGTCCTTTAACTTCCCAGGGAGGAAGAGAGTGTGCAGCCCTGATAGGAAAGGATTTCGTGGCTTTCTTTGGCACTTTGACTGGCTTGAGCCCTTCCTGGCTATAGTCACCCCAAGCCACCAACATATCTGCCAGGCACCTGGGGCTCAGAGAGACCAAGAATTGCCCCTCAAGACCTTGACAAAGAGGAAGGAGGCTCCAGGATGGAGCAGGATGCGAGCTCAGGTGCTGTGTCCCACTCAGGTGGTTGGCAAACCCCACAGCCCACCCCAGCAGCCCCTCGCTTGGCACTGGTGATGCCAGGACCTTACCTGCACCTCCCGTGTGTGGTAGGCGATGATGAGGCCCAGCAGGATGACGGTGGAGAGGCTTATAAGGCATTTCAGGGCCAGGGAGAACATGGAGTCCTGCAGGGTGAAAGCAGGGAAGGTGTTAAGGGGCACACAGCTGTGGGAGTCTGCTGGCACTGGACTCCACACCCCAAAGGAAATGCTACCCCCCACACCTGCTATCCCCATCCCCAATGGCACTTCTGCTGCTTCAGCTCCCCCCTAAGCAGCTTGACAGAGTAGTAAGGGCACCATCAGAACCATCAGCACCACTGGCACCTCCAGCATCACTGGCACCACTGGTAGCACCAGCAAAAACAACTAAAAACTCTTTTTTAGTTCTATTCTGCTGAGAGCAGTTCCCAACCTCCCCTCTGAGATGTGCAATGCCAATGCCCCAGCCCCATCTAGCCTGAGCCCAGTATTATGGTATCCACACAGAAGATCTAACCAGACCCTCCAGCTAATTAATCTTATGTAAATTAAACCAGCCCCTGATTCCCTGATGGCTGAACTGGCGGGTCCCTGCTGTGAAAATCAGGATTCACTGTTCCCTTTGGATGCTGGTAAACTCCTGTGTGTGGCAGCCACAGCGCAGCCCCACTGATGCTTGGCCATTGGCAGCCCCTCACCAAGACGTTGTTCCCAAACCAGCCCCCCTGAGCACCGTCCCACGCCTCTGTGCCACCCCCAGGCCTGGCACACTCCTGCCCTGCCGAGACCCAGCACACTCATGGCATCCCATCCTTGGCTCCCCAACGTGCTGGGCTGCCTTTGGCCTCGCCTGGCTCCCTCTTCCCGTGCTCCTCATCCCCACAGGGTGTTTGCACGAAGAGAAGGGACTATTTGCTGTGGAGGCGGCACCGCATTGTTAACGACTTGGCTCTGGCTGTGCAATTGTGTGGATATAATGGCTGGTGCTAAGAAAAGTGCTGTGACTAAACACTACTATTAACAGGCAAGCTCGGGGCAGCGTTGTGCCAAGGTGGCTCTGGCCAGACCCTTCTCAGGGGCACAAACCCTGCATGTGGCACCCGCTGCCCCACCTGGCAAGTGTCACACGGCGTGTACCAGTGCCTCCTGCCTGAGCAGACCTGTCAGGAAGAGCCATTCCTGGATCCCATGCTCATAGCAAACAGCGTGGGGTCTGGGCCAAAGTGGGGAAGGACCTTGGCACCCTGGCACACGTCCTGCTCCACCACGTGGATGGCAGAATGCTTCGCCCTGGTGGTGCTGCGCAGGTGGTGGGAAGCAGCAGCATTGTCCTGTGGGCAGGAGAGGCCCTGTGCTGCCCACATCAACCGAGAGGCAGGGAGCAGGCAAGGCAAACCCTGGACACAGCAGTGTGTCCCTGCTGCCCAGCTCAGCCCTGGCACCCTCTGGCTGGGGGCACACGGTGGCGTGGCTGGGGCCGTGGGGAGCTGGAGCTGCACCACGGCAGCCAGCCCTGCTCACAGGCACTCCCACAGCCCTGGTCACGGCCCTGCCGGTGAGTTCTGGGGCTGCTGCGGGGGGATTTACATACAGCTGCTGCAAATCTGGCCAAGGGCCTGCGGAGGCCGGAGCCAGGGACCGTCCTGCACCCTGTGGCTGTCAGCACAATGGTTTGTGTGGGGCAGGGGCGCAGCAGCGTGTCACAGCTGCTGCATGGCAGCAGCGCTGACTCACGGGGTCTTCCCCAGCTGACACAGCAGCTCAGCGTGGTGGGGCCAGCGAGCATGGCAGCATTCTGCTGGCAGCTTGGTAAGGGTGGACAGTCCCCCTGGCGCCAGGCATGCGGGCACACGGAGCCTGCGAGGGTGGCTGCGACTCAACAGGTAGCAGATGCAGGTGGGGGATGGTGGTTTGGCGTTGCTCCTGCCAAAGGGGAGTGGGAACCACCAGAAAAAGGCTCTGGCATTGAAGCATCTTTCTTTCTCGGCAAGGATGCCAAGGATGCCAGCTTGGCACCGAGGCATGCCCCTGCCTCAGACAGAGCAGTGGAACTGCTGCTCGCAGCCCCCGCATGCCCACCGAGCCGGCAGCCGTGGAAGGACGGGGCTCAGGAACCCCCCAGCCAGGCACCTGGGTGGGGAGGCAGCAGGGTCCCCCAAACCACAGGACCCCAGCAGCGTGCCTCCCCTCCTCCACCTCCCGTGCTCCCGCTGCCCTCCCCACTGCCCGTGCCGGGTGAAGGCAGGAAAGGGGAGCAGCCCCTTCCCCTGCACGGGCGGCACCGCGCACGGGGACCCCCGCTGGCTGCACCCCAGCCCCCCCAGCAGCGCCGGCCCGCTGACGCCCATGGGTGCTGGTGGGGGTGCCGATGCCTTCCCCTCTCTGGATAAGTATAAATAACATGACAGATGTCTATACAAAGAGTTATTCATATCGCTGCCAACCAGCGCAGTCCGGGAGCAGGAGCTGGAAGGGACGTGGGGGGGAGAATTATAAATAAAAGACACTGTCCTGCAAAAAAAAAAAAAAAAAAAGGCAGGAAGGGGTGTGGAGGAGGAGGCGGAGGAGGGAGGGGGTGCTTCGCTGCACGGCCGGGGGCACAGTGCTTTTGAGGAGTGCACTGCCATGCCAGCAACAGGCACCACAAACCTCCGTGGGTCGGTGCCTGCTGCTGCAAGCGCATGGGGCAGGACTCGGCAGAGCAGCCTCCAGCACAGAGCCCCTGCACCTGCAGCCGGGCGCTCACCCTGCCCAACACCTGTGGCTGCGGCATCCACCAAAGCTCTGCGAGCATCCTGTCAGTCACCAGCCAGCCTGTCTGACCCTGCTCCGCTCCAGAGGAGCTCCATATTTATCCCGTGGGATAGATGGGGCAAATGGCTCCATGTTCGCCCCACCAGCAGCCCCGCACACACCCCCCGGCCCCGCTGGTACCTTGGAGTAGAGCCCCCAGGAGAGCTCAGTCTCAATGACCATGACGACAATGCCAAACATGCCGAAGATGAGCGCGTAGTCACTGAGGCGCTTCCTCTTCTCGAACAGTGCCCGGCGGTGCCCAAGCCGGTAGCCAATGTTCTGTGCCTTGCGCTTGGGCCCCTTGGCAAAGGTGGTGGGGGCCGGGCGGGCNNNGGGCGGGTGGGACGGTGGGTGGTGGGCGCATGGTTGTCCTCGCGTGAGACAACAATTTCAGGGGGTTCACCGGCACCGAAGAGCTGCAGGGGTTGTGCCTCCGGCTCGGCCTCGATGAGGTTCCGTCGGGATGCGCTGAGTCGGCTGAGGGGCTTCATCACCCCCCCGCTGTACTTGCAGGAGCTCATGGCGATCTCGGTGAAGGGGTTGCTGTCCCGCCGGTGAACCAAAGGGCTGGGCTGCCGGTGTTTGCTGCTCGCCACCCCAGAGCCCGCTGGGTGGTCGCCGAGGTTGAGCTGGCTGCCGTGGCGGGAGGAAGGGTGGAGGGCGGCGGGGGCGGCGGGAGGAGGAGGAGGGGCCCGTAACGACCCGGGCGAGGAGTGCAACAGGCTGTGCTGAAGCGGCGGCAGCGCGGAGGGCGGCGGCGGTGACCGTTCATCCCCCGGTAACGGGCAGGGACACCGACCATCCTCCTCCAAGTCCCCCACGCCCGAATCGTGGAGATGCCCCGATGTCTCCATGACGGCGGTACCGGCGCCGCTTTACAGGGCACCGGTTCCGCTTTACTTGCCACCGGCCCCGTTCGCTGGATCATGAATGGGCTCCGTGCTCTCGCCGCTATCGCCGCCGCCACCGCCCCCGCCGCTGCCGCTGGCCCGGCCCCGCAGCGCCATTGGCCACGCTGGGGCTCCCCGCAGGCTGACATCATCCCCGCCCGCTCCCCGCTTGGATCTCCCCCCCCATCACACCCCCGGCTCCTGCATCTCTGCGGGGTCGTTCGGGACTTGTAGTGCACCGGGTTGCACCGGGCGCCGGTGCCCGCCCGCCCCGATGGACAAGTCCCGAACGACCCCCTCATTCGTTTAACCCATTGGGGTCCCCCACGGGCATCCCCCCTCCTTTGATATGATCCCCTTTAATCCGTTTAGAGGCTGGGGATTACGAGCAGCAGCGGGAGCAGGTGTTCCCATCCTGGGGTGGGTCACCCCATGGACAGGGGGCACGGGGTGTGTGTCTCACGATGTCCCCAAGGTCGGGGTCAGGGTAATGGTAGAGCCAGAGTATGGGATATATACATACAGATGCATATAGGGCCCTAATCCCCCCTCAAAACCCCCTGCCCAGCCAAGCACAACCACCCCCACCCCATCGTGCCCAGCTGTTGCAGGAGAGGAGCAGATGTGAGTGTATGAATTTGGGAAGCAGATAATCTGTAGGGAATTGGCTGCTAGAAACCTCATTAAAAGACACCATGAAACACCCAGCTGGTGACCCCCTGCTTGGGCAGAACTGCACTTCTGCCTCCTGCAAGCCGGGAAACCCGTGGTGGGGGCGGGGCAGGATCACCTGTGTGTCCCTTGCACAGAAATGAGACACAGGCCCAGCGTGGCAGCGGTTCTCAGTGTCAGAGCTTTATTCCAGAAGAGGAAGCATCAGCAGGAGGTGGAGGTGGAGATGCTGAGGGGCTGGGGGGAAGGGGGATGATGCAGTCCCCCAGCCCCAGTGGAGAGACATGGAGCTATAGGCTCCTGTGGACAGACTGCACCAGCACCTCCAGCTGCTCGCCCAGGGCCACCTCATCCCCGTCGTTGGTGATCACCCAGTCAAAGGCCACTCCCTGGTCCAGGCCGCACTCAGATTCAGCGTCGTCCACCCCTGGTAGCACAGAGCCCAGGGGGGCCCCAGGGATGGTCAGGATGTGTCTGTCTGTACCCCCACCATGGCTTCACCCCCCAGAGGTGGGGGCCTTGATCCAAAGCCTCTTGCTCCCACTGCCAAGGAAGGGTAGTGGAGGCAGCAGACCTGTGCCCAGTGGGCAGCCCCAGATTTGGTGTGACACTAGGCGAAGCTGCCCCTCACTTCCTCACCAGTGACAAAGACCCAGTTCCTCCTCTTCCTCGTCTCCTCAGCAGCCACCACCCGCACGGTCTGCACCACATCCCCGTAGGCGGCCCGGAACCACTCCACGTCTGAGAGGCGCCGTGTGTCACTCACCACCTGCGCAGGGGCTCGGTCAGCACCCGGCCTGTGCCCCCAGGGCCCCTGTGCACCCCCAGAACTCACCCACACCGGCTGCAGCGCCCCCTGCACTGCTGCCCGGCAGAAGAAGCCGGGGTCGGCGCGGCGCTTCTCCTCGCCCCAGCGGATCATGTCCTGGCGGAACCTCTCCTTGTAGGCGCTGGCGTCCAGGAGGCGCTGAAAGTCGAGCCCGTGCTCCTGTGGGGAAGGGGGGTCAGTAGGCACTGCCCGGCCCAACGAGCGTGGCGTGGCACGGCCACGGCTGCCATGACACGCCACGCCTCAGCACAGCACGGCGGGACGGGATGGCTCAGCACAGCACAGCACAGCACGCAACAGCTTGGCACGGTGTGGTACAGCATGGCCGTGGGATGGCACAGCTTGGCACAGCGTGTCCTGACACGGCTCGGCGTGGTGCAGCTCAGCACAGCATGGCACGGCACGGCGCAGCAGGGCAGGGCACAGCTCAGCCCTGTGCAGGACGGCATGAGCACGGGACGGCAGAGAACAGCAAAGCACATGCCCTGGCACAACTCAGCGTGGCACGGCACGGCTCGGTGCGGCACGGTGTGAGCGTGGGACGGCACAGCACGCGGTAGAACGCGGACTGTCTGGCACAGCTCGGGATGGTGTGGCACTGTGTGTCACGGTGTGGTACAGTACGAGCGTGGCATGGCACGGCACGGCACTGTCCGGCACAGCTCAGGATGGTGCCACTGTACGTCACGGTGTGGCACGGTACGAGCTGGGACGGCACAGCACAGCAGTGTCCTGGCACAGCTCGGCGCGGTGTGACACGGCTCGGTACCTTGGCGTACTGCTCCTTGAGGGGCCCGGAGAGGCGCAGAACGGTGCAGACATCGGGGCCCAGCCTGCGGGAGAGGGGTGAGCGGGACGGGCACTGGCACCGGCTCCACTCGGCCAAGTCCCGGCCTCCCTGCGCTCCAGTACCATCCCCGCCCGCCGTGCCTTCCCCGCCTCCACGCCCGGCTCCAGCCCCGCCCCGCCCGGTACCGGCTCCGCAGCTCCTCGGCCACGAAATCCTTCCCCGATTTCCTCTTCCCGCTCAGCAGCAGCACCGCGCGCGGCGCCGCCATGGGCGCCTCCGGCCCCGCCCCGACCACGCCCCCGACCACGCCCCGGGCAGCCCGCCCGGCTCACGGCGCCCCCTGCCGGGCAGAGCCGGCCCCGCGGCGGGGCAGCCCCGGGGACATGGCGGGTCCTGCCCCGGTACCCCGCGCCCCTCTGCCCCCGCCCTTTCCTTCCCCCAGCGCCCCCACTGCCTCCTCACACCCTCCAGTCTCCTCTGACGTTCCCTTTCCCCAGCACCCCGCTCCTCTCAGCATCTGTATTTCCCTACTCCTCTTCTGCACCCCGCTTTCTCCCAGCATCCATTTCCCCCAGTACCCTCTTTTCTCTCCGAGCACCCTTCCTCCTCAACATTCCTGTGCCCCCTCCACACCCCACTTTTTCAACTGCCCCTCACTTCCTCCAGTACTCCCTTTCCTCTTCACTGTTCCTCCTCTAAATCCCCATTTTCCCTCAGCACCAATACCCTTTCTTCTCCCCCAGCAACCCCCTTCCCCTCCAACACAGCATATTCCTCTCTGCCCCGCCTTTTCATCTGCACGCCCTCTCCCCCAGCAGCCCTTCCTCCTCCCTGCACTCCTTCCTTCCCTCTCACAGCACCTTTGCCCACAGCACTTCAGTCTCCTCTGCTCTCCCCTTACACACCCTATTCCTCCTCTGAACCCCCCTTTCTGCAGACCTCTTCCCTCAGCACCCTCCCTTCCCCCCACCCCCATTTTCCCCACATCTACACAGCTCTGCCCAGCGGTGACTTTATTCATGGTGGCAGTGCAGCGTCACACAGTGCATTTGGTTAGGGATGTGGCCCTACTTGGCCCTACAGGGTGTGCTGGTCACCCCTAGACCCCATAAACAGCATGTGGGGAGCCCTTGTGTGGGGGTTCTGGCACACTACTGCCCCCCTGGCTCTACCCACGTGTGCCATGCTGCCTTGGGGCTCTCTGGCTCCACACGTTCCCGGAGGTGCTGCAAGAGAAAGGAAAATGTGATGGGCTGCAGTAGGGGGGAATCCCTGGGGACTCTTGGCACCACCCACCCCAGCTCACCCACTGTAGTGCCGCAGCATGTACTCCTCGAAGCCATCAGCCGCCTCCTTGTCGCCCCGCTCCTGCCACGCCACATCCTCCAGCAGATCCTCCACATCATCCACAAAATCGACAAACCGCAGGCGGTCGTGCGCAAAGACACCGTCAGCCCTAAAGGCCCCGTCGAGCCGCGGTGCCAGCCTCCCAAACTGCCTCCCCAAGCCCAGCTGCCCCATGAAGCTCTCCAGCAGTTGCAGGAACTGCACCTTCTGCACCGGCTGCAGTGCAACCCCAAGCACTTCCTGGCCCTCCTTGTGGGCACAGTCAGTCACCCCAGAACAGCCCTGTGGTGCCCGGTACCGCTTGAGCCAGGGCAACTCACGGGAATCGTGCCGGGGGTGGCTGTGGGAGGCTGAGCCTGGCTTCCCCCAGGCTTTGCCTGGCTTGTGTTCACGGGGGGCTCGGGGATCCTTCTTGTGGGGTTTGCCATGCTCTCTCCTTTCGTGCTCGTGGGGGGACCCCCTGGCACCATGCTGCTTGTGCCACCTGCTCTCCTTCTCCACCTTGGATGGCTTCTTCCAGGGTGTGGAGAAGGACCCCGACCCGTCTGCCTCCAGCACCTGGGCCAGGTGCTGCTCCAGGGTGCTCAGTTCCTCCACCAGCCCCTTGAGATCCCCAGAGCCCCGTGCACGGTCCAGGGTGTCCGCCAGCTCCTGCCGCAGTGAATCCAGGCTGCCGCGCCGCCGTGCCGCGGCCTTGCCGTGCCCTGGCACGCCTGTGGCACGTGCCTGCTCTGCCCTTGGCTCCCTGGGGCTGCCTGGGGCCCCCGTGGCCTGCAGGCGCCGCAGCTCAGCCTGGGCCTCCCGCAGCGCGGTCACCTCCCGCTCCAGCGCCGCTCGCAGCCGCGCGTTCTCTGCGGCCAGACTCTGCTGCTGCGCCCCGGCCGCGGCCGCGGCGCCCTCACTCTTGTGCAGCAGTGCCTGCAGATCTTCCTTGTGGGCCTGGGGCAAGGTTGGGGGGCTGTGAAAGAGGTGGCAGCGGGAGAGCAGCACCAGGACACAGCACAGAGACGTGGTACTGGGCACCAACCTGTAGCTCTGCCTGCATGAGCCGGATCTCCTGGTTCTCTTTGGCCAGCTTGTCCAGGAGCTGGCTCATGGACTCCATGCTCTGCGGGCCCCCATCATCTGGCAGAGGGGGCTTCTGCTGGGAGTCCTGGAGGACAGGAAGGTTGGGAGCCCTGGGGGTGTTGAGGACACCTTCTGCCCTCACTTCGCCCTGCTTGAGACCCCTCCTTACATTGCTGTCTATGGACAGCAGTGACTCCTGCTCCCCAGCAGCAAAGTCCCAGCTCCCCACACTTTCCACAGGCCCTGCAGAGAAGGACATGGGTCTGAATGTCCAGGCTGGCGCAAAATGTCCCCCTGCCCAGATGGGCTAGTTGCCTCTACTCACCATCTGCCACGTCGTAGATACCACCTGGGGAGAGGAGGGGACAATGAGGGGGATGTCTGGACCCCACCCTGTCCCTGGGGCCTTGGCTACTGGGACCTCACTTACCAGTGATGATCAGCAGCCCCACAACAACCAGCGCCAAGGCACCCAGCAGGTACGTTCTCATACTGAGCCCATCATCACCAGTGTCTGCTGTCCCCCGGTGTGGGGCAGGCGTGACAGTGGGGGGCTCAGGATGGGGCTTGCGGCCCGGCCGCCACCGCAGCCCCTCGGTGTTATCGTCACTGCTGGTGCAGGACACGTCCTCCGGTGTTGGCCCTAGGGGGAGACGGGGGGGACCTCCAGGGAGGGTCTACGCCTAAACACTGCCAGCACAGATTCCCCCAGGCCAGTCCCCTGTGAGGCCTGACCTGCTTGGGGGGTGTCAGGGCAGGGTTGTGGCTCAGCCTCAGCATTCAGCTCCTCCTGCTCATCGCCCTCCAACACGCTGGGCTCTGCAGAGCCATTCAGGGCAGACTCTGCCTTGGAGTCCTCACATTTCTCTGGGTCCTGCAGACACAGGCACTAGCACGGGGTATCCCTGTGTGGGGAGCAGCCCACCAGTTCCAGCTCACCCCCAGCCCCCTGGTCTGACTCACCCCCTGCCCGCTGCCCTCAGGGCACAAGGTCTGGCTGGGGAAGGTAGTGGCACCATTGGCAGTCACTGCTGGAGAGAGGCAGAGCATGGGGATGAGACAGTGGCACAGGAAGGTGACACCAGGCTTGCCCCATACCCCTGGTGGCTGCCTGCCTGTGACTGTATCCTGGGTGCCTTCATCCTCCTCCTCTGGCTCCTCATCGTCAGACCCATGGGAGGCTGAGTCCTGCTCTGGACCCACCGTGTCAATGGGCAGACCCTAGGGGAAGGGGGTACACAGGGAGAGACACCTTTAACCCCGACCTCCATATGCCTGCAGCCCCAGGTGGGCACTGGGGGGGTGTGCCCGGGGGTCTCCAGCTCTGGGGGGCTGTCCTAAGGGCCCCAAGGCATGGGGTCTCAGTTCTGGCATGTTGCCCTGGAGATCTCAAGCAGTGAGGGTCTGCTCTGGGGGTTGTGAGCCCTCACCTCACTTCCCGCCAGCACCCAGCTGCTCTCTTCATCTCGGGGATCCAATTTCTCCGCCATAGGGACAGTCCAGCGCTACCTGCAAGGGGACAGACGGGCGGACACACGGACAGCGGGACACGACCCAGCTCCCAGGACCGGCCGCACGTGACCGGGAGAGCCACAATCCCGGTGCCAGCCAGTCCCTCCAGCCCGTAGCTGGGAGGCTTTCAGGGAGCCGTCCCGGGGCTCCGGCTCTGCGGCTGCACCCCCCCGACACAGCTGCCGCCGCGGGGTATTTTTAGCCCATGATGCGACCCAGCAGGTGGACGGGAGACGCAGGGCCTGGCGTGGGGAAACCAGGGGCCCCGGTCGGGATCCCACCGCCCCACAACAAAGCGGCAGCACCGGGCGGGGGTCTCGAGCAGCCCCCGCCCCTCTCTTCCCCCCCACCCCCGTCCGGGACCCAGAACCGGCCTGGGAGTGACAGCCCCGCCGCTGACAGCCCCCTCCTCTCCGCTTCCCACGGCCTCTCCGAGCTGCGCCCGCGCCCTCAGCCCCGTCCCGGCGCCGGTCCGGCCCGCAGGGCAGCGCTCCCGCCGGGGCCGGTACCTGCGCCCGCCGCGTCCCGCCGGGAACTTTCCCCGGGGCCGCCGCCGCCCCCGAGCCGGGGCGCGCACGTGACGCCAGCAGCCAATCGCAGCCCGCGCCGCAGCGTCGCGAGGAGGGGGCGGGGACAGCGGGCGCGGCCCCGCCGGTACCGAACACCCCCTCCCCCACCCCCAATCCGGTACCAGACAGACACCGACAACCCCGGACAGACACCGACACGCGCGTTTAAGAGTTTTATAACGACGGTACAAAAATTTCCATTAACGACTGGCTAAAACGGACGGAGCTGGGGTGGGGAGCGGGTACCGGGACCATCCCGAGCACCGGAGCAGGGGGCACCGGCACTGCCCCATGAATGTGGAAGGGGACACCAGGAGCGCTGCACAGCCCAGGAGGCGCCCCCTGCAAGGGTAATGACCTAACTGGGGTCAGCACTGTGGAGCACCAGGGAACCCCAGCCCTCACCAAGCCGGTGCACCGGGGCCAGAGCCTTGCCCACAGCAAAAGGCTGACACCGGCACGGCCAGCACCGTGCCCGGTCCCCTGGTAGGTCCCGGTGCCAGGCAGTGTCCGGTGAGCAGCCACAGCCAGCGCACAGCAGTGGCTCTCTGGCTGGCGGGGGGGACAACAGCTACAAAAAATGGGTGTTTGGTCCTAAATCAGCGGGGAAAGCTGTACATGGCGGCTGAACGGTGGCTCAGCCGTCGTTGGCGGTCACCAGCTGTCCCATGCCCTCCCGGATGTAGACCGACTGGATCTCCTTGGTCTTGAGGCAGAAGTCGCAGGCCCAGACGGCAGAGGCCTCAGTGGTGAGCAGCCCGTAGGCGTTCTCGGTCATCCCCGTGCACTCCCGGTGGAACCACTTCTGGCAGGAGGCCTCGCACAGGATGGCGTCCTGGTCGTCGTTCACCTCGTTGCGACAGGCCCCGCAGGGGTACACGAGCCCGGGCGGCGGCTGGTGGCCCGAGGCGCCGCTGGCCTTGCCGGGGGGCGGCAGCGGGAGGCTGTTGGTCTCTGGCGTGCTGGCGCCGCGGCCGGCGCTGTTGGGGGCGAAGCCGGGCTGTGCCCCGTTGACGGTGGCGGGGGAGCCCGAGTGCTGCTCCTGGGCGAAGGTGCTGGGGGGAGGGTTCTTGCCCCCCTCCTCGCTGCTAGCAGGGAAGCCGGGGTCCGCCCCAGGGAAGGGACTGGCCGTGGGGGGCAGCGGGGGCATGTTCTGCCCGGGGCGCTGCATGGGCGATTGTCCAAAGAGGTTGCTGGGCTGGCTGAAGCGCTGAGCCACTGCTGGGCCCCCGGGGGGGTTGAGGGCTGGCCCGGGTCCCATGTCCCCCCGGGGGGGCTGCCCCATAGTGGGGGACATCATGGGCCCGAAGCCCGCGACAGGCCCCTGCATGAGCTGCCCCATAGGGGGGCTGAAGTTCTGTCCGAGGGGCTGGCTGAAGGGCTGCCCGGCGAAGGTCAAGCCCCCCGGCTGCACGTAGTTTGGATTCTGGGGGGGCATGCTAAAGGCCGGGCCCATCTGCCCGGGGGCGAACGGGGGCGGCTGCCGCCGCAGGGGCTGGGGACCCCCGCCGTAACCGGGGGGCACCTGCGGCGACATCCCCCCCTGCATGCGGAAACCGCCGAACGGGACCGGGCTGCCCAGGAAGGGGGCAGGCGCCGCCCCCACCTTGGGGGCCCCGAAATCATCCTCGAAGGGGTTGGAAGCCACCAGGTGGTCCACCATGGGCGTGGGCGGCGGGGCGAACTCCGAGAGGTGCGAATAGGCAGGGCCCTGCGGGGAGAAGGTGGCGGTCAGGGTTGCTGCGGCGCGTCCCCGGCCCCCGCGCCGCCCCGAGCCCGGCCCTACCTGCGTGTTGGACTTGCGCCGCTTCTTCTCGGGGCTCTTCATCTGCAGCCCTGCGGGGACAAGCGAGGCCGCGTCAGCGGAGCCGGGGCGACCCCCACCCACCCCGGTCCCGGTCCCCCCGCGCTCACCTGCCTTGCCCTGCTTCCGGCCGGGCCCGCCGGCGGCAGCGCTGCCCGCGGGGTGCGGGGGCCCCGGCGGGGCCGGCGGGGCCGGGACCGCTCCCTCCAGCTTCTCTGCGTGCGGGGCCGCCATAGCCCTCACAGCGCGCGCGCCGCCGCCATGGCCCGACCGGAACCGGAACCCGCGCGGGGCCAATCACAGCGCGCGGGAGGCGGGACGACGGGCGCTAGACGTGTCAATCACCGCAGGCTCCCGCCCCACCCGCCGGTCAGACCAAACCAAATGCAGCGCGATGGGAGGGGGAACCAGACGGGACAAACCACGTACGAGGTCCGGGGGGAAGGGGAGCACCCGCCCACAGCGACCCCTCCCAGCTCACAGCAGGCAGGCCTAGAGAAATACCAACTTTAATACAACCGCCAGTTCCTTTGGTATAGCGGGGCAGGGGCCTGGGGCTGCGAGGGGCGGGGCTGCGCTTTGGCTTGGGGGAGTTACACTGTGCATGCAGGGGGTCCTCCCGCCAAACCCCCGGGGCTGCCAGAGTTGCCCTTGCCCAGCCGGGACGGGCAGGGAGGAAGGGGACGTGGTGGCACGCGTCCTGGAGCACAAGCATGTCACGGAGGGGGTACAGGGTGCTGGGAGCACGGGGGAGGCTCTGTAACCAGCCCCTGCCCTTGCATAAGAGTGTGGGACCTGCGGGGTCAAGGCACAGAGTTAACACGTAAAGTGATCCGGTACAGTCGAGGGCCTCGTGCTTGGGGGAGCGGAGCCCCCCATGGGCCCCCTCCTTGGCCCAGGGGCCAGAGATAAGGACAGGCTGCCTCTGGCTCGGGGGGCTCAGCCTGCCAGTCCTGAGCCCGTGCTGGTGAGCACAAGAATGGCTGTGGCACAACAGCAGGGCTGGGTTTTGGTAGGAGCTGAGCTGCTCTGCAAAGGCTGGAGCTGGAGAGGCATGGGCTTTACAAGAACCGTTCTCTACCCTGCAGGCACTCACAGCCTGAGCCCCCATGGCCACCAGCTCCGTGTGGTGAAAGGAGAGAGGCCCTGTCCTCAGCCAAGTCCATGCTCAGTCCTGGGTGGAGCACCTGGAAGAGTCTGAGGGCTCCCTGGGGCACGAACACGGCCAGAGGGCTGCGCACTGGGGGTGCCGTGCACTGGGGTCCCCGGGCGCTCACAGTCTCCTCTCCACTGGCTGCTGCAGGCACATCTCACTGCCGGCCGAGATGATGGGCAGGTGATTGTCCATGTGGTAGCTGATGAGGTGGCTGACGCTCTCAAAGCGATGATCTTTTGTCCGCACCTGGGGGGCCAGAAAAGGGGCGCTCAGGAGGCTGTCAGTGCCCACGTGAGGCCAGAGCTACCACCCTCCATGGCATGGGCTGGGCACAGACCTGGGGCTGCACTCTCAAACCCATGCTCTGCCAGGCCCTGTCCATCCCCAGAGCCAGCCCAGAGTTATCCCCTGAGCAGCAGTGCAGAACCCCAATGCTCTGGTGGCTCTTGTAACCCCTAGGACCCCCACTGCTGCCCCCTGTGTGGACTCACCACTCCCTCGGGATCGACGAGCAGCAGATGCTTGGGCTGCCCACCCTGCAAGCCAGTCAGCACGTACTGGCCCGGGGTGGTGGTGCTCTCCCGCACCAGGAAGTCTCCGTTCACCTTCAGCAGCTTCTCAGCCTCCTTGCGGCTCATTTTCCCATGGTACCAGGGCTCCCGTCTCAGCTGCTCCTCCATGGAGGCCACCACCTGGGCGGGGGGCAGCGCCACAGGCACAGAGGGGGGCACACGCAGGGCATCTTCAAAGGGCTCTGCAAAGAGAGAGGAGCGGGGGGACCATGACCAAGCCCACAGCCCTACCCACAGCCCTGGCTGCAGCCACCATTCACTCACTCATGTCGAAGAGGTCCCTCTGAGTGCTGCCGTTGGCTGTGGCGGGGGTGCCAGAGGCTGAAGCTTGGCGTGTCTTGTCTATGTTCTGCACGTTGACGTAGGACGGGTCATCAAAGAGGTCTGTGCGGCCAGACGTGCCTGCTGGAGCTGGGTACTTCTCTCTCCCTGCTGCCAGGAGCACTGTGGTCAGCAGGGCTTCAAGCCCACCTTGGCCCCCCACCAGTGCCCACCATCACAGTACTGGGGTCCATGGAAGAGGATGGAGACACCCATCACATTACCTTGGGCAGGAGCATGCTGCTTCTGGGGGTCATACTCCCCACCGGATGACTGGCCAACAGGCTGCAGGGAGAGGCAGAGATGAGCCCCCATCCCCTTTCCTGCTCCCCACACCCCAGAGACACACAAATAACCTTCAGCAGAACCCATGGCCCACTCAGGGTCCCTATGACTCCCTTATAAGATGGTGCCTCCCCAAGAGGACATGCCCAGAGCCTCACCAGTGTGGCACCCAAGTGATTTGGGGTCTGAGCAGCCCCATCCTGCAGCCGCATGTCCACGACCCCCCCAATGGGAGGTTCCTTGCCGGGGAAGTCGTTGTAGTACTGGTGATCCGGGGCTGGTTCCTCCTCTTCTTCATCCCAGGCAGAGCCATCAAACCCTGCCATCCTGGGAGAGCACAGCACAGATAAGCCCATGACAGCAGCCATGGCTGCATCCCCTCTCCAAAACCACCTTCCTCCTTGTCACATAACTCTGCTCTCACCTGTCGTGGGGGGTCACCAGCTTTGGAGGGTTCTTCAGGTACTGCTTGAAGCGCAGCTCGAAGGCCTGCCCGATGGTGCTGATCACATCCTGTGCCAAGCCTTCAGGACACTCCAGGATGTGGCAGGCTGGGTAGAAAATGAAGGGGTGGGATTGTGGAACTCCAGCACCAAGGTTCTCCACCCCTGAGCCTGCCCTGTACACCCCAGAGCTTTCTTAGGGGTCACCCAGTTCCCCCCCTATGCTGAGCTGATCCTGAACCCCTCCAAAGTGGGGCTTTGGCATCGAGGACCCTTGCAGCACCCTCACCTCTCTGATTGACGGGGTCTTTGGCAACGTAGGCAACATATTCAGCTGTGTCCTGTGGGTGAGACAGCAGAGTGAGACAGGGCTGCTGGGGAGCATGGGGCCCGAGAGCTGGGCAGAGGGCAGGACAGGCCCCTGCACAGGGCACGGATGGGGACCCTGCCGGGTACTCACCGGGTCTCCCCCCGATGCAAAGGAAATAGACTGCATGTGGTGGTTGGCAATGATCTGCAAGGAGGAGAGCTCGTTGGACACAGCCAGGAATTCCCTGTCACCCACCCAGGGGTGGCATATCCTGCTCCTCCCAGGGCTGACCTGCCACAGGGGCTCAAAATCCTGCAGAGCCCTGGTTATGAGCCACAGAGCACCAGGAAAAAGACTGGGACATCACTGGGAGTGGGGTCAAAACCAGGAGATCTGGCCCCAGGCAAGGGGACTTGGGTCTCAGCGTCTCCAGGAGAGATCCCACAAAGCACATGGGATATTCCTCCCACCTCTTCAGCCCCAGGGACTGTGGGGAGGTGAGCACTCATCTCACAGCCCATCCAAACATTCCCTGGGGAGGTTGGGGACATCCCCTGCCCCAGCAAGATCTGGGGTGAGTTACATGAGGATTCCTGCTTGTCCAAAACCAACCCAACTCCTCCCCATTCTCACCTGCTTGCAGTCTGAGGCCATGAGGTTGAGGCTGCTGGTGGAGATGGTCAGGGTGATGGGCATGCCTGCAAACTTCAGGTTGCTCTTGCCCAGGATGGAGTTCAGGGAGCGGCTGCAGGGCTAGGGGCAAATGGTAGCATAGAGAAGGGGCTCCCAGACCAGATAGCCCAGCAGCAGGAGGACAGAGCACATCCCACTGCTTCCACAGCAGAGATGGGCACCTTGTTCTCACCAGTGGCCCTGGCCCAAGCCTCATCTGGGAATCAGAGCCCTGGGCTGACCAGCACAGCACTGCCAGCTGGGCTGGGATCTGGTCCTTGGCCCTGTGCTCAAACCAGCCACAAATGCTCCCCCAGCAGCTTCCCAGCCAGGCCTCACCTTTCTTCTCCTCACGGCTCCCTTGGCACCAGGCACAGCTTCACATACCAGCCCAATGGCCTCCCTGCAGGGAGTGCAGTGAAAGGTCAGCCCCCACAGTGCCTGCCTTGCCCTAAGACCCCTGCAGCCACAGCACTCGGGGCAGTGGGGACACAGGGATCAGCATAGGAGAGACAGGGTGACAAAGTGGAAGCTCTCAGGCAGTGCCAGCTGGGGTTCTTTGGGCAGGCAAAGTGCACTGGAATTAGTGTTTGATGGGCTGCAGCAGCCCCTGGCCCCCACTGAAACCCCCACGTGCTACAAGGGGCTCACCTAGGGCTCAGACAACTTCCTTACCCCTCCCCAAAAGGAGCAGCCCCTGGGAAGAGGCAGAGCTCACCTGGTCACCTGTGTCCTGGTGTTGAAATCCAGAGCCCTCATGGACTGGAGCACTTCCACACAGCCCATGTACTGTGCAAGAGAGCAAGGTGAGCTTGGCCAGCCATGGAGTTTGTCACCCATGTACCCAGGGAGGGGGCTAGGGCCTCAAGCACCCTGGCTCTGCAGCAGTAACTTCCCTGGGAATCCCACTGCCCACTGCCCCCCCTATCCCCCACCCCTCCCCAAAGAGCTTGGTACATCTTGCCACCAGGAGGTCCCCAAATCCCCACAGTGACCCTTCTCAGTCTCCCCCATTCCCCAGCACTCACCCGGACGTGGTAGGAGACCCCAGAGCCCATGACCTTGTCATCCGGGTGCAGCCAGCCACGGGTGGGCTTATTGACAAAGCTGCCGTGGCGGGTCCACTCATCACCCCCCAGCTGGCCGCCTTCCACCCGCGTCTTCTTCCCACAGCTCAGCTTGTTCATATCCTGGGAACAGACAGTGACAGGTCTCACTGAGCCGGGGCTGGCACCACCCCCTGGCACTAGTGCTGGCATCCCAGGGGGACCAGGCTCCCCTGGGCTGCTGCTGGCTGCAGAGCCCCGCAAGCTGAGCAAGTTGGCGGGATTGGAGAGCTTCAGGTTGGCCATTTTGGGGAAGAAGGAGCAGAGGGTGGTAGGGCTCTCCTCCAACTCGGGTGAGAGCTCCCCGAGAGGTGCAGCGTGGCTGAGGGAGGAGGACAGGGAACCAGGCAGAGACTGCATGCTTGCAAGGGACTCCACTGGGGAGGGCAGGACTCCCAGGCCTGCCATGGCCTCCTCCGGAGAGGAGACAGACTCGTTCCGCAGGTGGCTGTATTTGCTCTTTTGCAGGAGATCCATGCTGGAGGCAGGTGAGAAGGGCCACAGCCGCCCTGTCCCGAGTGGCAGTAGGGTGGATGCAGCCAGCTGGGCCTCACAGGGGCCCCACGGAGAGTCCGAGTGCCTGCAGCCGCCGGGAAGCTGCCCCCAAGCAGAAGCCTCGGCTGAACTCTGCGCTAGGTCCACACCAGCCCCACATGGCTGGCAGGGAGAGCTGGGCCTGGGACGCCGGGCAGCAGGTCCAGGGGCTGCCCAGCACCGTGCAGGCACGGCCGATCAGTCGTGATCGGCGGCAGCAAGGACGTGCAGATCCGTTCAGACTGAGAGCAACGCGCTACAGCAGGGAGGAAACGGGGCCGCAGCGACACCCTGGGGAGCCGCTGGCACAGGGAGGGGAGCTCAGAGTGCTCTGGCCCCAGCCTGGAGGTCCTCAAGCCCCTCGCCACTTCAACACCGGGCCAGCAACAAAACCCATTGTCTTCATCCAGGACCAGCTCCAGCTCCCTCTGCCCTGCTCGTTTCAGCACGGCCACCCTCCGCCCCACAGCTCACTCCAGCCCCTGTGCCACTGCCCACTAAGAGAAAATCAAAAGCATGAATATTTAAAGCCCGGAGATGAGGCAGACACAGAGCGCATCCAAGCCCATCCCAGCCCTGCTCCGAACAGTGTCCAGGAGGGAACGAGGTCCTTCTGTGGCAGCCAGCGCCACGCAACCCACGTGCCGGCGGTGAGCAGCTGCCGTTGGCTTGCCGGGCTCTGCCGGGGGGGAGCAGCGATGCTGAGATGACACCGGTGCTCGCAGCTTCCAGGAATACGGGGACATGCAGTCCTTTGAGAGCACAGATCTTGCCTGGAGGGCTGGTGGGAGAAAGAGGACGGCCAGGAGCAGGATACAGGTAGGCTGTGCGCTGGGCAAGGCAGGGCTCAGCACAAACCCCCAGCCGTGGTGGGGAGCCTGTGGGAGAGGCTGCAGCTAATCGCTGCTGCTTCCCGCATCCCAGCTGCTCCTCCCGGGAGAAGAGATGAAGGGGCTGCGGCTGATCGGAAGAGCTGTGCTGACTCACAGGCGGCGGGGCAGGCTCTGCCCGCGGCGCGGGCTGCGCTGGGGCTGGGGCGCAGCGCAGGAGGGGCTCCCGGCGAGGGGAGGGGACGCAGCGCTTATCTGGAGCAGAAAAATCAAGGTCACAGGCGGAGCTAGCGGGAGCGGGCGGCAAGAACGTGCTGGGGGCAAAGTTGGCCCCTTCAGCCTCGGGGAGGAGGGCGAAACTCCCACCTGTGGATCAGGGGGCTCAGGGGCAGGTCTCCCCTGTTGCCCTGTCCTCGACGCACTTGCACGCAGCAGGAACTTGGGCCAGCCCGACTGTGCTGCCCTCCGCAGCCTTGGTCCCACTGAGGGACAAAAGCTCCCCCATCCCCTCTAGGACGAGGCAAGGAGTTCAGACAGAGCACAACCCCCGACGCATCACAAGCCAGATCCTTCCGAACCACCAGGTGCTCTGTCCACCAAACCAAACCTGGGTAAATCCAGGCCAAGGAAAAGGCTCTCCCTGACTGGAGCCTTCACCCAGCACTGCTTGGCACTGGCAGCTGCCTGCCCCACTTGCAGTGTGCCACAAAGCCTGGCACACTGCCATGAGGACAGGGAAAGGAAAGCCACAACAGGGCTGGAAATTGCCACCTACGTGATGCGAGGGGCTGTGGCACACGCGAGTGGGCCCGTCACTGAAGCATCTTCTTGGCCATGCACACTAGCTCTGTGAAGGCCAGCCCCCCCAGCTCAGCCACGGTGGTCCCACAGGCGCAGAGAGCCTGTGCTGGCTGTTCCACAAAGTGCCTGTCCCCTCCAGGGGCCCCCGGCTGTTCAATGCTGTGACCTTCCTGTGGCCGCAGCACCACTCCTCTAAAGAAAAGCAGGAAGCCCGGAGCCAGGAAGTTGCTGGCCCGGTGAGGGGCCAGTGCAGCCCTGTTGCCAGGGGAGCCTGGCTGGGCAGCATCAAGTGGCCACGGAGCAGTGGGGTTTGCCTGTGATGGACTGGTTGATGTGGGCCTGGGCTTGCCTGGCACGGCAGCTCTGTGAGCCCTGATGCTTCCCCAGGATGAGAGCAGGAGGGAATTGCAAGGGTGCAGGAGTGTCTCCTTGGCCCCTTTCCACCACCCCAGGGCTTGGAGCAGCCATCACCTCCAGGCAGCAAAGGGCTGCTGAGCCTCACAGCTGAAGCTCCTGCTCAGACACATCACTGCTTTTATAAGCTAGAGTAATTCCTGATTTTCTCAGAACCTTCGAGGCCAGTCTGCCCACACCACTCAACAGCCTGTTACAAGATGCATCACAGCTCCCAGCCCTTGGGGACCATCACAGCCCCCCCAGCCCCAGAGTCTACCTCAGGGCACCAGAGCTCCCCCCCAGTGGGCTCTGAGTGCAGAAGGCAAACCTGGAGATGTGCAAAGGCGCAGAACACCGGCCCTGCCTGAACAGGCACTCCCAAACCCCATCCCACAGCCCTTCCCCTTGCCAGGCAGAGCTCCTGCCCCTGCAGCAGAGGATGAGCAGAGCAGCTGCAACCACTGCCCCCAAGGAGCTCTGGGGACATGTCCTGGCCCAGCTGCTCCTTGTGCCCTGCCACCACAACAACGATCATGAGAACAACAATGGATCATGAGAAACAGAGGGACCTGTACTACTTTCAGGTACCCGTGACTGGGACTTCACACACCACCTGGGGCAAGGAAGAGAAGCAGAGTGGGGATGCTCAGGGCTCCACTACCATCTTCCCTGGAAAAAAACTGGGAGCTGAGTCAGAGGCCTGAACATACCAGTGTTCAGGTTTGGCAAGAAATCGCAGCAAGGTGCAGGCGGCCACACATACAAACCTTGCCCTGGGCAGGAGACCCCCTCTGTCCAACTGCAGCCAATGCTGAACCTCTGAGGCAGGGGGGAAGCAAAGGAGAACACTCAAATCCAGCCAATAGCTGATTTTCCCCCACGCATCACAGCAGCATCGAACAACATTTATGCATTTCTGCACGCGACCTCTCCTTCATTCTGAAGAGGGGGTTAGGAGATACCAGTGCAGATGTGGGGAAGAGGCCGGAGACCTCCCAGAAGGCAGAGGAGGCAGGCAGGATCCACCACCGAAGCCACTTAGCCCTCCACCGAAGTCCTTACCACATACTCCATCGCCGGCGGAGGGCAGGGCAGGCCCCGGGCAGGGAGCAGAGACACACAGCCCCTCTCGTCTGGCACTCCGACCTGCGGTTCGGGGACAAACAGGGAGTTAGCCAGCCCTGTCCCAGCCCGCTGAGGTGGGTGGGGGCCACGGTGCCAGGAGGCAGACCCTGCTCCTCCATGCTGTCCACAGGTGGATGGGGCTGTGGCTGCCGCGCGACATGCGGCTGGCACAAAGAGTAACAGAAACCTGGAAGCCACCTTCTTCCCATTGGAAAGAAGGTGGAGATGGGATGCGCTGGGACAGGAACACCAGGCTGAGCCTGGCACTGCTTGGACCCTGCCCACACTGGCTAGTGGTATCGGGGGCCTAGAGTCACTCTGTGACCCAAGGAAAGTGCTGGAGCCAATCCCTGCCCAGCCCAAAAACCAGTACTGGAAAGCCACACGCAAGGAGGGAGAGCAAAGGCAACGAGGGGGGCAGAGCTGCCCCCTCCTCCAGCCCTTCAGCTGGCACCCTGATGCAAAATTATACACAGAGCCCCCAGGGCTGTGTCCCTCCCTCCCAGGGGACCAGTGAAGACAGGAGTCATGGAAAGAGTCTACAATGGGGGTGAGCTGGCAGAGGCAGGAAGCTCTGCGAGGGGAAAACAAGGCAAGCAAAGCACTCTTCTCACTCCCACTGCCACTGCCCAGCCAAGGCAGTCAAGGACAGGCCAGAGGAGCAGTGCAGGGCAGCAGACATGATTTACTGCTTGGCAGCAATTGTACCTTTATCTGCCTGTGCCAGCTGTCGCCAGTAGCTTGAACGGCAGCGAGATAAGGAGGGCTGTGCTTGGCCAAGGCAGTGGAGATTGAGCCCTGCAGCACCACGCCACCACCAAGCAGAGGTGGTGACCGAGCCCTTTGGACATTGGGCACCGAGGCTGGTGGCAGGGAAGGAGCATCTGGACCCAGGGTGCTCAGCCTTACCAAAGCCCATTTGTGTCCCTCCCGAGGATGGAACACTGCTGTGCACAGCGCTAGAGGTGGCCCAGCCAATGCATTCCCCCACCAAAGGGCAGTTGGTGGATCCTCAAGCCCTCCTTGGCTGAGAGGAGACGGCATCTTCAGCCCCTCTGGTACAGGCTGACACCAGGGCAGCCCTGGCAAGTACGGAAAATAAGTGCCCTTTGCCCACAGACTTCTGCAGCACCAACGTGGCAAGCAGGGCCCAGGTCACATCTCCTCGGAAGCCGTGTCCATGGTCTGTAACCTGTGTGGGTGACCCCATCTAAGAGATTCAAGGCGAGAAGCAAGAACAGATGGACACAACACACTGCTGGAGAGCAGACACAGATCTCCAAGGGGGAGCAGCTACCCCTGTCCACAGCAGCTGGGTAGGCTCCAGGTACTCCCTGCTGCCTTACTCTGAAGCACAGAGGGCAGGAGGGCAGACCCCAGCACCGCAGAGGCCGAGGAACCCTCCAAACGCAGCCGCTGCCCCGTCCCTGCCGGAGGTCATGCCAGGCTTGCGGCTCGGGGCTGTCCCCAGACCCTGCAGCACCTCTACAGCCGGTGTCCTTCCGGTGTACCGCACGGGGTGGGGACCCGCCAGCCGGAGCCCCAGGCACACACAGCCAGCCGCCACGCCGGGAGGGTCAGCCCAGATCTCAGCACGGCACCGGCTCCTCCAACCCCCGTCCGGCGACACACGGGAGGGTCCGGGCCTGCCCCACGGCCAGGCTCCCGCACGCCGGGCCAACGAGGCAGCTGGGAAGGGCGGCTCGGCCCTCACAGCCCGGGGAGCGGCGGCGTCTCGGGGGCGGCTGCGGCAGAACGCCCAGAACTCGTTCCGCGGAAGGCGGCGGCGGCGAGCGAAGCGGCCTCAGTCCGGCGACACTGCGGCCGCGGGGGCACCGCGGGGCCTGGCCCTGGGTCCCGGGCCCGGCGCGGGTCCCCCCTCCTCCATCCGCGCGCGCCCTCACCGCCCCGGCCGGCGCGCGCTCACCGGGCACCATCGGTCGCGCGCGGGCCTCGCGCCGCGTCGCGAGCGCGCCGGCCAATGGGCAGCCGACTCGCCCCGCCCCCGGCGCGGAACCGACCAATAGGCGCGCGAGGCGGCGGTGTTTGAAAGCGCCGCGGGGGGCGGGGGCGCTAACGGCCGCCGAGGGAGGGCACGGCGGGCCTGTCATGGCGCACAAACAGATCTACTACTCCGACAAGTACGACGATGAGGAGTTTGAGTATCGGTACGGAGCGGGAAGGGGTCCCGGTAACATCTGCTTGATAAGGATGCAGGGGTCTCGGTGAAGGTTTACTGGGCTGAGGGAGGGAAATGCCTCGGTAGCGTAGAACGGTGGGGTGGGGAGGCTGTTAACGGCTCGCGAGTGGGAGGGGGGCGGTGGGCGAGTCGTGGCTCCCTGACGAAGCGAGAGGGGAATTATCCTGGTAACTCGGGGGGTCGCGGTGAGGGTTCTGTGTCGGGTCACGGCTCTGGTGCCGTTAACAGCTCTCCGGTGGGGAATCTCCGTCCTGGGCAATGAGGGGTTGTTGGGGGTGCCCCGGTGTTGACTGAGAGGTGCGGGGCTGCAGGCACGTGATGCTGCCCAAGGACATCGCCAAGCTGGTGCCCAAGACCCACCTGCTGTCGGAGTCGGAGTGGCGGAACCTGGGCGTGCAGCAGAGCCAGGGCTGGGTTCACTACATGATCCACGAGCCAGGTGAGCCCCGCGGGGGAGCGGGTGGCGCCCAGGCGGCCCGGCCTGACCCCCTCTTTTGCCCCGCAGAGCCCCACATCCTGCTCTTCCGGCGGCCATTGCCGAAGAAGCCAGAAAAGTGAGTGGCCCCTGGTCTGCCGAAACTCTCAGTCCTTCCACGCTGAGAAAACACCTTCCTTCTCCTCGGCATTTCTCGGGGGCTTCACCCTCTGACCCTCGACGCTGCCTGGGCGTCGTTTTGTCGGCTCGGCCCTGGTTCCGGCGGCCCTTCCCGTTGCGATGCCTCCAAAGCTTCAATAAAGTGATGTTTGGGAGCTGTCTGTCTGCAGTGCCGGGGGCAGCTGGGCTGGAGGGCGAAGGGATCCCGGTACCGCGGAGTCTGTCCCGCGGGGGTTCCCGAGGAGGCTCCCCGGGGTCTCCGGGGGAGGGAGCCTCCCCGCGCCCACCGGAGAGGGCACGTGCCCCGGCCCGCCGGGCACGGCCACGGAGGCGGAGCTGCACCGGCACCCCCTCCACCCGGTTCTGCGATGGTTCCGTCCCGCAGGTCCCGCCTCTCGGCCAATGGGAGCTGGCGGGGCCGTGTGACTGACGTGCGGGCCGGCCTGTGAGCGCGCGGGGCGGTGTCGCGGTGTGCGGAGGTGCCCGGGCAGCTCCATGTGGGGGGTGCTGCGGGCTGCGGGGCGGGTGCGCGGGCCTCTGTGCGCTGCCGCCTGTCGCCCCATGGCTGCTTCGGGCCCTGCAGCGGAGGCCCAGGGATCCGCCAGCACCGCCGGCATCATCATCATCGGCGACGAGATTCTCAAGGTGCGGCCCGTGGCGGGTCTGGGCTGCGGGCGGGGGGCGGGCTGGGGCCTGTGCCTGGGGTCGGGGCGCCCCGCCGTCATGGGCGTCTCCGGTCCCCTCAGGGCTACACGCAGGATACAAACTCCTTCTTCATGTGCCGGCGACTGCGGGCTCTCGGCGTGAGTGTCGCCCGGATCTCCGTGGTCCCCGACGACGTGGAGGCCATCGCCAGCGAGGTGGCCACCTTTGCTGCTCGCTTCACCTTCGTGCTGACTTCCGGGGGCATCGGCCCCACGCACGACGATGTGACCTTCGAGGCCGTGGCTAAGGCCTTTGGGGAGCGGGTCGTCCTCCATCCCGAGCTGGTGGCCATGGTGCACAAGTTCTTTGGCAAGACAGAGGAGCAGTGCCCTGAGATGAAGCTGGCTCGCGTCCCCGAGTCCTCCCGCCTCAACTACGGCACAGACGGGCACACTGGCAGCACCTTCAAGTACCCGCTGGTCAGTGTGCGCAACGTCTACATCTTCCCCGGCATCCCGGCACTGATGGAGCGTGCCCTGGATGGCCTTGCTCACCTCTTTCACAGCAAACAGACCCACTTCCACTCCCGCACCATCTACGTGGCGTCCGATGAGATGCTCATCACGCCGGTGCTGGACAGGGCTGATGCCACCTTCCGAGGCCGCGTCAGCTTGGGCTCCTACCCAGACTGGACCAGCAACTACTACCGTGTGAAGCTGACCCTGGACTCAGAGTCAGAGCAGGACCTGGAGGAAGCGTATTGCTTCTTGATGAGGGAGCTGCCACCGGGTGTTGCCGTGCCGTTGGTGAAAGACTGCGTCTCTCCAGCAGCTGTGGAGGTTTATGGCCTGGCTGAGTCAGGTACTGGGAAGAGGTGCTGCAGCACAGCTCCGTGCTTCCATGCTTCTCCTGGGGCAGTGGGAACACCAGCCTGGGAGCAGAGCTTGCCTGTTGTGCTGTGCTGGGAGGCTTGAGGCGTGCTGCAGCTGCAGTGGGCTTCATGCCACCCAGGTGGGAATGGGACCTGTAACCTCATTTAGGGCTGGTGGTGGCAGGGTCTGAGAGCACAGTGTGCAGCAGTAGCTGCAGTGCTGTAGTTCCCCAGTGCCCTCATGATCCTTGTCACACTGTGGCCCAGATCTCTGGGTTGAACAGGCTGTTGGCTGTGGTACCAGCAATGCCTCTGCTGTGTGTCCAGAGGGTGAAGTGCCCTAGGCCCTGGGGCCATGCTAAGGGAACATGAGCTGGGCAGGCACCAACTGTCCTGTCCTGGCAGGCTCGGCCCTGGGGCAGAAGGTGGCAGCAGCCCTACGGACGATTGAGGAGGCTTTGGACCAGTACAGCCTGGTCCAGCTCTGCGTGGGCTTCAACGGGGGCAAGGACTGCACAGCCCTGCTGCACCTCGTCCATGCTGCTGTGCAGAGGTACCCACGCATGGGGCTCCAGGCTGGGGCAAGGCTGAGGGGTCCTGCAGACTCTGGCCAGGGCTCTGGAGCTCTTGCTGGCTCCACCCTGGGGAATGAGCGGATTCCTGGGCTCTAGCTGGTCGGATCTGGACGCTGCCTTGCCTCCAGTTGGTCGGAGTCCAGCTGCACCGGGTCTCTCTGCAGGCGGTTCCCAGCGAGGCAGGAGAGGCTGCAGGTGCTCTACATTCGCATTGTGTCCCCGTTCCCTGAAATGGAGCAGTTCATTCAGGCAACAGTCCAGAGGTAGGAGGCAGAGTGGGGTGGGCTGCTGCCCAGAGGCTGTGCAGTGCTGCTTGCAGCCTGCAGACAGCTGCCCACCTGCCTGTGCAGGTACGGGGTCCAGCTCTGCACTGTGGAGGGCTCCATCCGGGAGGCTCTGGCCCAGCTGAAGGAGCAGCAGCCACAGCTGGAGGCTGTCCTGATGGGAACGCGCCGCACGGACCCTTACTCACGCACCCTGACCCCCATGTGTGTGACAGACCCCGACTGGCCCCCTTACATGCGGGTGAACCCCTTGCTGGTACGTGGCCTCCACTTGCTTTGGGGCTGGAGCATTTGCCACAGGGCCTGGCAGGGGGACTTGATGGGGCTGGGAATCAGCAATGATCCACCCCCATCCTGGACAGCTTCTCTCACAATTCTCACTCTCCCAGAGTATTTGCTGCCCCTCTGTGCAGCTGTGGTGCCCCTTGCTGCAGTGAGGCTGCTGGTGCTGTTGGGCAGGGCTCGTTCTTGCCTGCTGGGGGGGTGCCCTGTGTTTGGGGAGGTGCTGGGAGCAGCAGTGGTGCTCTGATGACCATCTGGCTCTCCCAGGTGCTCTCCAGGAAGGTCTGATTTGCTTCCCTGGGCAGCAAGGGAGCAAGCAGCCTTTTGCCTCTGCCTCAATCCCTGCCCAATTCTGCCTGCAGGACTGGACCTACCGGGACATCTGGGAATTCCTGCGCAAGCTCTTTGTCCCCTACTGTATCCTCTATGACAAGGGGTGAGTGCCCAGTGCTGCCCTTCTCACATGCACGGCCAGTGGCCCTGGGTGCAGTCCTGCAGCTGCTTCTTCCCTCCACAGCTACACGTCCCTGGGGAGCATGACCAACACACAGAAGAACCCAGCCCTACGCTGTAGCGATGCGCAGGGCCGGGAGAGCTACCGGCCTGCCTATGAGCTGGAGAATGAGGAAGAAGAGCGCACCTCCCGCCGCTGAAGGCCACGCTCTGGGAGCCTCCACTGGAGTGCTGCTGGGAGTGACTGAATAAAGTTGCTGCCTGTCAGCACTAAATAAACCTGCTGCAGTCTGCACTGCACTGGCACGTGGTCTTGTTGAGCCCTGAGGGCTCCATGGGGCAGGAGTGGGAGGAACAAAAGGGTCCCCAGGTTGTGCCACCTCCCTGCACCCACTGTTGTAGGATTTTTGGAAATGCAGAGAATGTAGTAGGTTCCAGTGCTTGCCAGGGCCCCACACGTCAGCACTGCTGCCTCTCCCACCGTGTCAGATCCTGCTGATTCCTCATGGGCCACGCACCTCTTCTGCACCATGGCAGCCTGTCTGCAGGGTGCTCCCCATCAAGTGGCACGGGTACTGGCACTGCCAGCACCCACTGCCACCTCCCTTGGGCTGCGCCTGGTCTCCTGGTTGCTGCGGCTTCTGTGGAAATGCATCTACCTCCTTCTCTGCAGCTGGTGCATCCGTGAGCTGCTGGACTAGGGAAGGCACCCCCCAGTGTCACAGGACCCCGTCAGCCCCTGCCTGCCCTGGTGCTGTGGGTGAGTGACCTGCCTGCAGCTTGACTTGACATGGTGCTTGGAATGTGACAGGGACCTGGCAGTGGTGTGTGGGGGTGGCAGAAACCAACCATGGTGCTCCTGGAGTGAAAATGGCCTGGCTGTGGCAGTTCTGGGGGTTGAGAGGGTGTGGCCTTGGTACTGGTCAGTGGGTTGTTACCCCCTGTGCCTCTCTCCCCTCCCCAGGACTGTCCCTGTTGCCCTGTGCTGATGAAGCTGACGGACCTCTGGCGCTGAGACTCTGCTCCAGCCTGTGCTCCCCCTGATCAGAGACCCCAATAAACCTGTGCAGTGCCTGAATGGCTGCGTCTGTTTGGGCAGAGCTCTGGGAATGTCTGTGTGTGTGTTGTCTCCCCCAAACCTCCCGATCCTCGCCCTGGGTTGCACTAAGACACTCCAGCACACCCCTTGCCCCTGTCCAGGACTGAGGGTCCCCACGTCCCTTGGGGCCAAGGGGCAAGAGTGGGGGCTGGGGTTGTGCCTGCATTGCCTGCCTGCTCCCCCACTCCTGGCCATTTCCTGTTCCAGTCTGTGGGAAGCAGCTAGAGGAAAATATCTCCAATGGGCCCAGCCTGGCTGGGAGCTGCAGCAAAGGTCATGGCTGGTGGCACCAGAGCATGGCTGTGGGGGTGGCTGTGGGTCTGTGAGCCCACCCTGCCCCATTGCTGCCTGTGCTGGTGCCTGGCCCCAGCACAGGGGAAGCTCTGCATGCCCTGTCCTCGGCAGCAGCACTGGCGCCAGTGTGGCCTCCCTTATCTCGGCGGGAAGTCAGGAGCAGGAAGCCTGGCCCGGCGCGGGATAAGGGTCCCGTTTACATTAGCTCCTTTGTTGTGGAGCAGGCTCCCACCCTCACCCACTGCCCGCGGGGGGGGGCCTGCCTAGGTCAAGAACTGAGGGGCAACAGAAACCCTTGCCCAAGATGCCATGAGGGGCTTAGGTGGTCCTTGCAATGGTCCCTGTGAAGACACGAGTAGGGATGGGGTCTGCCAAGATGGTGCCCTGCTGCTGTGCCTCATGGCCTCCCCCTGCCCAGATCAGCTACTCAGGTGGACCCTGCCCTGTGGTTGTGCCCTGGTGTCTGTGGTGCTTTTTGGGCTCCTGGCTGTACCTGGCTGCCTTGGTAGCATGGTGCTGGGCATCCCTGACCGCTGGAGCCCACGCATCTTGTGCCTGCTGTGTGCTGGTGTGGTAGCCCTGACGTGGTGGGCCTGGCGGTGGCTCAGCCCCAGGGCTGGCTGGGATGAGGGAAATCAATGAATTCCCCAAACGGGAAGGTCCGGGGGAGGGGAGAGTGTCCCAGCACAGGAAAAAGTCCAGGCAGTGACGCGTGACGGGCAGAGCAGTGCCGGCCGCCCTGAGAGCACAGCCCCATGCAGTGCCCTGGAGCCTCTCACCCACCTCCACCACCCACCGTGAGTGAGACCCTCTTCTGCAGGGACCCCTTTCCCAGCCCCACAATAGGGGGGTGAGAGGGGAGCGGGTGGGTGCTGTGGGCAGGAGCATATGGACCCCTGCCCTCGCTGTCTGAGCACAGGCAGGTTCCCCAGCAGTGAGGGTTGTTTTTGGGCTCACGTCTGATGTGACCTTGGGGATGCCAGTACACCTTGAAGCAGCACCGTGCCCTCATAGTGGGGATGACAGCAGCAAATCCAGGCAAAGCAGCCTTGCCAGGGATCTGGGTGGACAGAGGAAGATGCACAGGGTCCCCATTGGGATCCCCCCGGAGGCACAGCTCTCTGAGGGCACGGGGGGTGATGCCTGTCTCCATCCTGCAGGTGGTCCCCACGACCACCCCATGTTCCGTTCACGCCGTGCTGGGCTGGTGCGGAGGCTGTGGCGGCAGCGCTGTGCAGCAGCCAGCCCCGAGGATGGCCCCGGTGCCCTCAAACCAGCGGTGCATGCCCTCTTCAAGAAGCTGAAGGATGAGGAGCTGGAGCTGCTGGTGCAGGTGGTGGAGAGCCGGGGCGCCTGGGAGTCTGGCTGCGTTTTGGCACCACGGGGGGACCCACGAGGGGTCAAGCAGGGACTCCCCCCTCAAGTCCTGCTCTGTCGCCTCTTCCGCTGGCCTGACCTCCACCAGTCCCATGAGCTCAAGCACCTCTGCTACTGTGCTGGGGGCCAGGGGGCCTGCGGGGACTTGGCTGGGCTGTGCTGCAACCCCCATCATTTCAGCCGCCTGGCTGTAGCTGGTGAGTGCTAGCGGCAACACTGGGGGCTGCCTCGCCCACCCAGGCTCTGACCCCTGCTCTCTGGGGCTGGCTCAGGGCTCCAGGGGGGCAGGATGCACTCCCAGCCTTTTATTTCCTTCTCTCTCCCCTGCAGAAACCCCGCCACCCCCCTACTTGAAGGCATCCCGTGGTCCGTCCTGGCCAGATGAGCCTCAGCTCATGGAGTTCAGCTACAACGGTGGGGACTGGTGCGGTAAGATGGGCCCACCACCCTCCACAACCCTCTGCCACACCCAGCAGGCAGGAGGGCACTGGGCAGGGCTGAACCCCTGAGTCAGAAGCAGAGATTGGAGGGGACAGAACATGAAAATCAGGGAATGGAGCCAGCAGTCACTCCCAGCAGGAGGAAAAGGCTCCGACAGGGGATGAGGGGTTCCTGCTGGGGGAGCAGTCTGGGCCCAGACGCCCCCCCGCCACTGAAGCTCCTGTTATTTTTGGCAGCACCAGGCTCCCTGCTGGAGGAAGCGCTGCCTATGGGGACACACACAATGTGCCTTGACGCACACAGCCCCAGCTCCCGCCTGGCTGCTGGCCACCAAGGCCACCAGCTGCCACTGCCCCACCTTCCCCTGCACTCAGGGACCAACCCCCCGCACAGCCCTCCCCCACCCCTTCACCACGGTACTTGCGGACTGGGAACAGCTCCAGAGGCTCACACCCAGCGCGGGACTCTGTGCTGAGGCATCCCTGGTGCGGCCACGTCCATCTATCTGTCCTCATATGCCCTCTGTGCCCACTCCCCTTGGCCCGTCCAGCTGCTTGGCTCAGTCACGTCCGGGTGGTGACAGCTCTGCTCTCCCCTGCCAGACACCAGTCTCTCATGGAGCACCCTCAAGGATGGCTGTTGGTGCAAACTGGCTTACTGGGAGTACCGGACGCGCGTGGGCCGCCTCTACGCCGTGCACGAGGCATCAGTGAACGTCTTCTGCGAGCTGCCGTGGGGCAGTGGCTTCTGCCTGGCCCAGCTGCCCGCCGCCTACCGCAGCTGTGCTGTCCGGCGGGCACGGGGCAAGATCGGCCGGGGGCTGCTGCTGAGCCAGGAGCCCGGCGGCGTCTGGGCGTACAACCGCAGCGAGCACCCCATCTTCGTCAGCTCGCCCACCCTGAGCCCCCCCGGTGCCTGCGGGCTCACTGTCCTCAAGCTGCTGCCTGGCTACTCGGCAAAGGTGTTCGATTATGAGTGGGCAGGGGACAGAGGGGGCTGGCAGCTACCTGGGGAGGGACCCTGTGACCCCCACAGTATCCGCATCAGCTTTGCCAAGGGCTGGGGACCCTGCTACTCTCGGCAGTTCATCACCTCCTGCCCCTGCTGGCTTGAGGTCCTGCTGAACCAGCCACGCTGAGGCTCAGGCTGGTGGGGGGGGGTGCCAGGGAGCTCCCCCAAAGCAGGTTCACAAACTGGGGGGCCATTCTACTGTTCCTCAGCCTGTGTCTTCCAGGGCTGTGTCGCAGCTGGGGACTCTGTGCCTCAGTGCTGACTGGATGCAGTGCCCCTCTTGCATGGTTCACCACCTTGCCAGCACCTGCTTCTCCCAGTCATGGGGCTCTCAGTGACACAGGGCACTATTTAATATTTTTTTAATATTATTTTAATGTTTAAATTTATAATAATTTATCTATTTTTATTTAAAAAGCAGAGCATGAGGCAGAAGTCCCCATTGTCAGGGCCAGGCCTGGGGGGTGGCAACAGGGCCGGTGAGGACAGGGGGAGCAGGAGAGAAGGGAGGTGAGAGGAGTGGGGAGGAGGGGGAGCTGTGGGCCTAGGTGTCACTGCAGACACGGGAAATGAGAGTGAACTGGTACGGCTGGGGCTGGGGGAGATGGGGCAGGTGTCCTCAGCTGGAGTGCGGGACAGGTTAGAACATCTGGATAGGTGTGGGGCAGGTTAGAACATCTGGATAGGTGTGGGGCAGGTTAGAACATCTGGAAAGGTGCAGGGCAGGTGCAATGAGGGGGGAGCAGGTGAGCACCCCTGGGGTGGGGACCGGTTCAGGGTTACCCAAGCGAGGTCCCTGGCCCGGGGGGTCCTTCAACCGTTCTGGCAGCATGGGGGAGCCCCGAGCAAGTGCAGCCGAGGGGATCCCGGATTGCCCGAGTCGTATCTGCTGTTTTTAACCTAAATAAACGGTGCCACCGGCACCAAGAGACACCCGTGTCCCTACGCGTATCGGTGCCGCCCACGGGGCTCGGCTCCGGGAGCCAGCAGTGCCCTCTGCAGGCAGCTGCCGCGGACCGCGATGACCACCCGGTCCTTCCTGCCACGCCGCCGGCCCGGCTGAGCCCGCGGCCCCCGCCCGGCCCCGGTCTTGGCCCCGCCGAGAGAGGTGAGTGCGACCGCACCGTCGGCGTCGCCTCGGGGGAAGCAGGGAGAGAGAGACACCGGGAGCACAGCCGCAGGCAGTGGCAGAGCGCAGCGGCGATGGCGAACCGTAGCCCGAGGGGACGGGCGGGGAGCGATGAAGCCGGGGGTCGGTGGCAGCCGTGCGGAGGGTGAGGTAGTTCTGCGGGTTCCCCCCTCCGCCCCGCGGAAGCCCCGAGCCGGGCGGGCCGGTACCCTGGACGGGGATGCAGGTGCACGGTCAGACGGACGGAGCTGGGGGGAGCGAAGCGGGTGGCTGGGCGAGGCGCGGCGGCAGGTGCCCGGTACCGGGGCTTGGCGAAGGGGTGGGGGGTCCCGTTCTCGGCCCCGGAGCGGCCCCCCCGCCCACTGACATAACGTCTGCGCGGGGCCGTGTTTGCCTTGGCAGCCCCGGAGCGGCGGTGGCTCCTCACACTTTCCGCTAGCGCCGGGCAGTGGCCGCGCTCGGAGCCAGGCGCGGGGGGGCCGGGGTGAGCCGAGGTGAGCCCCGGGGCCGCCGCTGCCTCCCTGAGCCGGCAGCGGCCAAACAGGTTGCGCGGGGCCCGCGCCCAGGCACCTGCGGAGGAGCCACCCTGCTGGGGGCCGCCGCGCCCCGCTCCAGCGCCGCCGAGAACAGGGGGCTGCTCCCTGCGCTGCGCCCCCGCCTGCCCGGCACCCCGCGGTGCCACGTTCTCCGTGTCCAGCTCTCCATCGCCCCGTCCCCGGCACTCCAGTACCCCGGTGCCCGCTCTTCGGTGCCCGGTTCCCCGAGCCCAGCTCTCCACACCCCGTACCTCACCCTACGCACGGTTTCCCGTGCCCGGCACTCGAAACTCTCCCTCGGTGTACACTTCTCGGTTCTTACCCCCCCGTGCCCGGTTCCCCGCCCCCCGTGTCCGCGGGGCGGAGCGGGCAGTGCCGTGCCGGCCCCGGCACTCGGCGGCCGCAGCGGGCGGGGCGCGCTCGGCGCCTGGCACCGCACTCGGCGCCGGTGGGGGCCGCAGCGGGGCCGTCCCGTGCTCTCCTGCCCAGGCCGGGGGCCGACCCCCGCCCGATCCCGTTAACCGCCTCTGACTCAGCCGCCCCCCACCCGCGCGCCCCGGTCCCGGGGGGCCCGCAAGACCCCCGCCCTCCCGAGGGGGGTGGGGCGGGGCTGATGGGCGGGGCAGCCCACCAATCGGACGCGTGACCGCCGGCGCGCTGCCCAATGAGGAGGCGGGGGCGGGCGCTTCCTGGAGCCCCGGCGGCGGCGGCGGCGGCGGCGGCGGCAGCAGCAGTGGCCGGGGGGCGGGCGGGGCGCGGCGGCGGCAGGTGAAGGCGGAGGCGGGGCCGTGGCTCCGGGACCGGTCTGTGGCTCGGGCGGGGTGCGCAGGTGAGCGGCAGTGGGTGGGAGCGGACGGACCTACCGGCGGGGTTGCGCGGAGGTGCCGACCCACCGGCAGCGGGATCGGGACGGGGACCGGTGCGGCGACAGCTTTTGCCGCCCGGTTGCGGTGAGTCGCGCTGATTTGGGATGCTGCGGGCGGCGGGTGGGCACGGTTGGCACGCGATCACTGCACGGCCCCTCTGTCCCCGCCCGCCGCCGGAGCCGGTGGACACGTCGCCCGTGGGGCGGGGGGTGTCACTCGTGGGCTGTTCCCGGTCCCTGCGCACGGGGCTGCGGGAAATCTGTGACATCGGCAGGTCCCCGCTGCGTGCCGGGGCGGCTGCCAAGGCTCCGCTGTGGTCCTGTTGCGGTGCTGCTCCATCCAGCCAGGGTCCCCCGCAGGTCTCCCACGGGTGACTGCGTTCTGCCACCCTCCCTTCCTAACCTGGTGAGCAGCTTGGCGGCATGCCTGGCGCACCGGGTAGGGACGGCACCGTTGCAGGAGGAAGGCAACTCAGAGAGCCCCTTCTGCACCGGTATTGGTAGAGTTGGAAGGTATTCCAGTGTCCCAGCACGCTGTGCCACGCTGGTGAGCCCCGGCCCTGGCACACCGGCAGCAGCAGTGGGTGCCTCGGCTCGGCTGTGCAGTGGTCCCCCGGGATCGGTGTCATGGTAGCACCTGCCAAGCACCGGTGGACTCTGCCCCGTGCGCCCAGCCCTGCCGTACCTGTCCTCGTCCCCCTGGCTGGCTGCCCCCGGCCGCTGTTTGCCCGGGGCGGGGTGCGGTATTTACCCTCCCGCCGGAGCAGATCCACGTCTTGGGCCACAGCCGCCCTCGATCCGTGGCTGCGTTCACTTGGCGAGGGGATACAGTGCCAGTTTTGTCGTGGGGTGAGTCGCACTGTACCTCGGTTTCCCCCACCACAGCCTGGCAGGCGCGGGGGGCAGCCTGGGATCCCCGGCACTGCCCGGGCACGCGGCAGCTGCAGCCACTCAAGGCTTCGGTGGTGATGCTGGTGCTGGGAGGGAGGGAGGGACTGAGCTCGGGAACTTAAAAGTGGGTGCATGGAGAAGGGGAAACTCTGGCACAGCAGAGAGAGAGTGGGGCAGCAGGGCTAGGAGTGTCTGCCGGGGATGGGTGCGGAGGTGAGCATAGGGAGGTGACAGCTGTGTGGGCGGGCATACCCGTGTCGGGTCCTGGGGACCCTCCGAGACCCCCTGCCTGGGCGCAGGCTGCCCCCAGCGCTGCGGTGCTGAGCCCGGGGCTGTGGCAGCGCGGCTCTGCCAGCTGCTGCCGTGCACCCTCAGTGCACACGTGGCACGAGCGCGACAGGCCTGAGCACACGGGGGCGGGGGGGGCACGGCGGGGCTGCGGGACCCGCGCGGCCCCCGCTGCACCCCAGCCCTCGAGGGGTGGCTGCCGCTCCGTGCGTGAAGCAGGAACTTCTCCTTCAGGGCAGGCAGCGGATGATGAAACCGAGGAGAAATCTCTCCTGGCAGCGTGTGGGCTGCTGGCGGGAGCCCCCGGGAGCCTGCGCTCCCCCTGCGCCACCACCGCTGCCTTCCCATGGTAACTCCACGGCGGGAGCAGGCAGGGTGCCGGTGGGAGCGGCCGCCCCGTCTGGAGGATTGGCGCCCGCCTGGCTCCCCGTGGCAGCACTGGCGTCCCTGACATGCCCCGAGAGCTGCATGTCCACACCCCAGCAAGCCCCAGGGCGGTCAGAGGACCTGGTGAGGGGCTGGGCTGAGACCCGTCTAACTCGCTTCGTGCCAGGAAGATGGCGCTTGGGTAGCCATGCAGGCAGGGGAGGTGGTGATGCCGGGGCTCCGGGGCTGTGGCCAGTGACCTTCAGTGCACCCGGGCATGCTGTGTGCCCAGCGCTGGGGAGGTCGGTTGACATGCAGGATGGTGCAGTGGGAGCCATGGTGCCTGGGTGACTTGTGTCCCCAGAGCTTCTGGCATGACTTGGTGAAGCCCTGGGCAGGCAGGGGGACCAGCCCGGGTGAGGGAAAATGAAAGCAGGTGATGCGGAAGGAGAAGTAGGTCAGGCGAGCTCTGGCCTCTCCCGGCAGCCTTGGTTGTACTGCGTGCTCCACTCTGCCCAGCTGTCTCTGTCATGTCCCCAGGCCCCGTGGGCATCAGCTGGCATGGGAGTGGGTAGGGGGGTCCTGCTGCCAGGCACTGAGTCTGGGGCAAGGTGGGTGCCAGGCACTGCCTACACTGAACACCAGGGTGGAGAATGTGGCTGTGCTGGCTGGCATTCATTGGTACAGTGACACCCCAGCAGTTTTGCTTTGATTCCCCTCCCCTGGGCAAGCATCAAGGCACAGGGCTTGGAGCCATAGCAAGGGCGGACAGGAGGATTATCAGCCCCACTGCAGGGCCAAGGAAGAGAAGGGAAGAGGCCCTTGTGCCCTGCCTGGGTGGCACAAGGCAGCTGGTGTGGTGCAGTCATCACGGTGGGCTCTGGGGACAGCCCATGCCCCACAGAGGGGCTCCAGAGAGGCTGCCCATGCCTGCTGCATGTGGAGCCATGGGGCATTGCCCTCCCCTTGCTGCAGGGCTGGCTGGGGTCTCCTCAGTGGCGCTCTGTGGGTTGGAGCGGCTGCGGCGGGCACGGCCTCGCTGTCAGTGCTGTGTGGGCTCGGGGGGGCTGGGGGGGATTAGAATCGCCTGCCCCCCTTCCCTCCCCGGGATCAGCCGTGGGCAGCGGGGAGCTGGCAGCAGGCAGCTGCCGTGGGGGCGGAAGCCGGGCTATTTTGGAGGGTGTGGAGGGGGGGCTGTGGGCTGGCACTGTCCTTGCCAGGTGACCCCACCAGGACCAGCACCACCCTGGTGCGAGGATGGAGCACTGGGGGCCAGCCTGTGCCACTGGTGATGCTCAGTCCCCGAGGTGCTGTGAGGACATGAACCCTGCATATTGAGTAGGAGGTGCCACCAGCTGGGGGGGCCCTTGGGGCTGTGCAGCACAGTGGGACCCAGGGGGTCTGGCTGCCCTCCAAGGGGTTCCCGTGACCGTGCTGCAGGGCCAGCAACTCCAGAGCCAGCTCACCCTGGGGCCAGTGAGCAGGCCCAGTTGTAGGTGAGCGGCCTGTCCCAGGCTGGTGGCTGGCAGAGCCTTGCCTTCCTTGCCTTCCTTCCTTCCTTCCTTCCTTCCTTCCTTCCTTCCTTCCTTCCCTTCCTTCCCTTCCTTTCCGCCTGTGCCTCAGCCATCTCCTTGGCACATTGGGATGGCCAGAGGTGACACACAGAGGCCACATGCCCTTGGCCACATCTGTCCTGGGCAAGCATGTGGCCATGGCACGCCATGCCCTGGCAGGTCAGGGTGCTGCTCTGTGTCAGGACGTGATGCAGGAGATGGGGTTGCCCATCCTGCCATTGGAAGAGGAGCTGGGATGAGGCCATGTCCCCTCACTGGTGACACTGGTCAGGGTGCCACTGACCAAGGCAAGGGTGGAGCTTGGAGATGGATGGATGGATGGATGGATGGATGGATGGCTGGATGGATGGATGGATGTTAGCCCATCTTCCCCAAAGGCCAGCACCTCCCCACCTGGCCCCCCAGGTAGGCAGCCCGATGCCCCCCCAGCCAGGGCGAGCAGCAGTTTGTGGCCAGCGCCTGGGTGGTTGCAACACCCCCAGGGTGGGGGGGCCACGGTGACTCACCCCATCCTGGCCACCAGTAGGAACCCTGACTCAGGGCTGCGTGCCCATGCCGTGCCATGCCCCTCCCTGCCCGCCTCGCCCACCTTATCTCCCGCCCTTAGCACCTGGCACACCTGGGCCAGGGGGGACTGGCGCCATTCCCCTCCTTTATGGGGAACAAAGGGCAGGGGAAGGGTTGGCAGCAGGTGCCACAGCCCTCCTCCTTCCCTCCTGTCCTTTCTCCCTCCCTCCCTCGCTCCCTCCCTCCTTCCCTCCCTCCCTCTCACGAATGCTGTCCAGGGCTGTGCCCTGTTTTGTGCCCCCCACTGGAGCAGCCTGGAGCATTGTGGCAGTGCGGTGGGCAGTGCTGCCCACAACCCTGTGCAGGCTGTGTGCTGCCTGCACTCTGGGCACTGAGTGACCCGTGGTACCACGGCTGGCTCCTGCCCAGCACAGGGTCCAGAGTGATGGGAGAGGTGGGATACCATGGAGGGCACACTAGCAATGCCCCTCTGCCCATCTCCACTGCCTGCCCAGGGGCTCTTGCACAACCCAGCTCCTTCCGTCAGCATTGCTGGGGCTGGGCCCGAGCCCTTTGCTGTCTGGCTGCTGTGGGGCTCTTCCCCTTTCTGCCTGGCCTGCTGCAGACGGCCCCAGCACTGGAGCCTGCCGGGCCATGCCAGGGTGCCGCAGTGCAGGTGCCCCTGACCGGTCTGGCGTGGGTTGCCTGGGCGGGTGCTGGTGCTGGTGGTGGGGTGTGGGGCGCGCTCTCCGGGCTGCTAATTGCTGTTTAGCTGGGGACACAGAGGGTGTAATTATGGGGGGATTGCGTGAATGTGCAGCCCGGCCGGGGAGCCCACGAGTGCCCCTGCCCAGGGAGTGGAGGGGGTCAGGCAGCATAGTCCAGCTGGGCCATCACTGCTTCCCACATTCCCCATGGGATCTCAGGAACCTGCTCCAAGGGGAGAGCAGGACAGGAATCCATGGGACCGGGGGGTGGCTCCAGGGCTGGCCGGGCAGGCTGCAGCATGCTGCACCAAGCCCTGCCCTGCTCCCGCCGAGCACAGGCGCCCTCGCAGCCCGGCTGGGCTGGCCATGGCCAGTGGCGAGCACCCAGCGCCCTGCCTTGGGGCACACGGCAAGGTGAGGGCCTGTGTGATGCCGCGGCACGGGGGGGCAGGGGCACACGGCTTGGGGACGATGTTAGTGGCGGGGAAGGCATACTTGTGGTACGGGTGCCTGTCCTGGCAGTGCTGGGAATTTTCTCCCGTGGGAGTGGGCCAGGGGATGCCCCGTGCCCGGTTCCGGGCTGGCGCCCCACGGCGCAGTACCGGCCGCAAAGAGTTAATGCCGTGTGTGTTCTGGGAAGCGGGGCTGGGAGGTGCGTGACCCGGGGTGTGGGCGTCGACTCCTTTTGAGGTGGGATCCTGAGCTCAAGTGCAGCGGGGAGCGGGGCCAAGTTCACACAGCACCCTGCCTTCCCCTCCCTGCCACTCGCGGGCCGCCAGCCGGGCCGCGCCGCAGCGCTGAGCCACGCCAGGACACGGGGCAGGTGAGCTGCACACCCACCCTGCCATCACTGCTGCTGTGGTGGAGGAAGTTGCCAGGGTGGTGGGAACCCAGTGTGGCACTGGACAATGGGAGATCTGGGCCAGCTGCTTCAGCACCAGCAGGCTGTGGGACGTTGGTGCTGCCTGAGCCCTACACCGTGCTTACTGCCGATGGGGTGGGGGGGGATGGGATGGGATGGGACGAGACGAGTGGCGAGATCTGGGTCACTTTGGTTTGGCAGAGCAGGGCCCACACCCTACAGCGGCAATGCCAGGCGGCTGGATGTGGCAGTGGGGTAGGTTTTGGCAGCAGGAGGGGGCCAGGATGCCAGCACAGTGCCAACAGGCTGGGTGGGCGGCATGGGGACTTTGCTTTTTGTCCCTGTCACAGATGCCAGGAGTGGCTCTGGCAACATTGCTAGTCCTGCTCCACCGTAGCAGGGATGCCCTGTGTCCAGCCTCCGTGGCAGCTGTCGTGCCGGGCTGGCACTGGCCCCAGGTGCAGTGCTGCCTGGCACTGAGGCAGCCCTGGGCCACGGTGCTCAACCCCCTTCTCAGTGCTGATGGCTGATGTCCCATGCTCTGTGTGTGAGCAGGCCAGTGTCAGGGGGCCTGAGCAGTGCCATGGGGCTCATGCTCAGAGCTGTGGGGTGGGGGACTGTTTATCCTCTTTCATCTCCAAACCATTTCCTTTTGTCTCTACTTGTTCTTTTCTTCTTTCAAAGAGCAGTGCTGCTCTCCCCACTTCCTCCAGCAATGAGACCCCCAGCATGTGCTTGCTACAGGGTCGCCAGCTGAGCCAGACCCTGGCCACCACCTTCCCTGCTGGGCAGACAGAGGGGCTGCACAGCCCCTGCCCTCCCACACCACCCTCCACACTGTGGCCATCGGCACCTGGGCCACTGCTGTTCCCAGTTGGCTTCAGGCAGTGGCAGGGTGGGGGGCTTGCACAGCCCGGACTCCTGGGTCCACGTCCTAGATCCCAAAGGGTGAGGGGCCCCACGGGGTGAGGGGCCAGGGCGACTGCACTGCGCTCCCCTTCCGGGGTGACTCATTCTCCCCAGTGGGGCTGTGAAGTCCCTCGACAGCATTTGTGACTCTTGTGACCGAAAGCAGGGGCACTTGGCAGCAGCCCAGTGTGGGGACCGTGCTCCCCAGGACCTCTGCTCTCCTTCCCCATGGGGAAGAGGTTGGGAGATCTCCCCTAGACATCCTTTTCCACCTCACACCTCCCGCTGTCCCCAAGCCGGGCCCAGTGCTCAGCGCAGGCTGGCATTGTGCCCTCACCCAGGGTGCCATGCCTGCTTGGTGGCATGGGACACGGCCTGTCCCCATGTGGGAGGGGTGCTGCAGGGGCTCCACCCCGCTGCCTGTGGCCCTGCCTGGGTGGCTGGACCCCTGGGACGGAGGGAGCTGGTGGGTGGGTGGAGCCTGGCCATGGTTGTCCCAGGCAGCCTGGGCTGGCAGAGGCATGTCAGGGTGACCTGGGCAGACATTGTTCCTGCTGCCACCCGCCCTGCATGGGAGCCAGCTCAGCACGGGGAGCAACTCCCCCTTTCCTTTCCTCAGTCCCCTGCTTCAGCCGAAATGTGCCCAGCCACAGCATTGAGGTAACCAAGAAAGCTCTGGCGTGGCGAGGCCATGGGCATCACCACTGCGTCCTCCCAGCCATCATCTCCAGCAGCAGCCAGGGAATGCTGGGGGCCGGGGGCGGCTCCGGTCCCCTCACACCTCATCCTCTGCCATTTCCTTATCACTGCGGTGATCTCCTCGACGGCAGCACCCGCTCAGCATGTGACTTCGCTCCAGTGAGGAGGATGTGCGGGGGGGTGGGGGTGTCAGCCGTAAGGGGCGGTTTGGTGCGATGGAAAATCCCCCTCCTGTCACCGCCGCCTCGCCCCCACCCTGCCCCAGCCCTGCAGCTATGTCTGGTGGCACTGAGTCCTGTGGCTGCTCACAGGGGTCCCAACTCCCTTACCATACCTCTGCCGGTGATTTCTGTGACATTGGCAGCACGGAGGCTGTGTCCATCTGCACTGGGACATGATGGGGCTGGTGCCCGTGCCCGTCCCACAGAGCACCTTGCTGGGATATGACAGGGTCTCAGCTGCTACCCTGTGCCCAGACACCCCCATGGGCACGTGCCAGTGGGTGCCATCAGTCTTGTGAGTGCCCTGTGCCCAGATGCCTTGTGGGGCTGGAGGTGCTGTGGGGACCAGGGCAGAAGGGAGGCTGTCCTGGTGCCAGCGCTGGAGGAGGCAGTGTTGGAGGACACAGTGCCACTTTATCCTGGGACAGTCCTGGGGGTCCGTGGGGCACTGGCAGGTGCCCCATCCCTGTCATCCCTCTCCAGCTGCCCAAGCTGTGGCAGGGGGTACTTGCCCCCCTGCTTAATCCTGCCCCAGCAGCTAATCCTGCCTAATCCCACTGGGGGCTGTCACTGCCTGTTGGCTCCCAGGGCCCTGATGGTTTAATCACCCCTAATCCGATCACCCCCACCTCGGCAGGCAGAGGGGACCTCAACCGGTGGTGGGATGGGCTCCTGCCAGGGAGGGGGGCTTGGCCGTGGGTGCTGGCGCCAGCATCCCAGGCGGTCGGCACTGCCTGGCTCCCAGTTTCAGGGGCGGCTGCCGCCTGCCCTGCCGGTCGGGCCTGCTCGGCAGCGGCTGGGGCGGCTCCACAGCCGGTTGCTCCGGGGCCGTTCCCAGCTGCCTGCCGAGGCAGCCCCAGCTGGCAGCCGCCCAAGCGCAGGGAGCGGCCGGCTTGGGGATGGGCCCCTGTGCCGGGGGCCGTCGCCCGCGCCGCCCCTCCATGGGCAAGAGGGGGCACGTCCCCCACGCCCGCCTGCCGACGGCACAGTGTGGTTTGGCACGGCCTGGTGGGTTTGGGGTGGATGGGCCTGGCATGGCTCAGCGTTGCCTGGCACGGCTTGGCGATGGCCAGTGCCACATGCCGCCGTCCACCATGGCTCGGCTTGGCGTGGCACAGCTCTGGCAGCATCGAGAGCCACAACCCAGAGGAGGTACCTGCCTCTGCCTCCCACAGGCTGCAGTTGCTCGACTCCCATTCCACTGTCACCCAGCAGTGCCAGTGTCACCCAGCAGTCTGGCTGGCTGCAAGGGCCATAGCTGGGCATGGTGTCACAGGGCAGGCTGCAGCCCTAGAGCTGCCACTGCTGCCTGCAGCCTGCCTACAGGTTGTGAGGGTCATGGGCTCCCCCTTCCCACCTGTGCTGGCTCCACATGTGGGTCCCTGGTGGTGCACCATGGGGACCACAGTGGGAGTGTGAGAAGTGCTGGGTTTAGGGCTGAGGCCAAGCTCTGCCAGCTGCAGCGTGGGAAAGGCCTGACTGGCGCAGGCTGGGCTTGGCTGGGCGAGGAGTGGCCCCGGGCTGGGGCACAGGGGGAGGGAGGGGGCCCAGTCCCGACCAGGAGCGGGGGCAGGAACCGGTGGCACAGGTGCTGATCCTAATCTGCCGTGGCAGGAAGTGTGGCCCCTGTTCCCAGCCCAGCTGGGCTCCACGGGGCGGCCCCCGGCCCTCAGGGTGCTCTTCCCAGCGTTCGCCCGCCCACCCGTGCCTGCTGCCAGTGAGGCCCATGTTCCCAGGACGGGGTTGCTGGGAGCCAGTGGCTGCGCCTGGCCGTGGCGGTGGGCTGGGGGGATTGTGGGTGGGCTGGCGCAGGAAGTGCTGCACCTCGCTGCTGTTCAAAGGCACCACGCTGAGATTTCTCCCTTTGCTGTGGCGGCGCGGGCGGCTGGGTGCTGGTGGTAGTGGAGGAAGCGTGGAGGCCTGTGGTGGGGGGCCTGCGCCCGCCAACCTTCACATAGCATTGAGGGAGCTGAGCACAGAGCTGGGCCCCAAGCCTGCCCCAGTTCAGTGTCCCACTGAAACCCCAGTGCCACCCAGCACGTACAGGGAGCCTTCCTCGTGCCCTGGCTCCATGACAGTGATGCTCCAGCTGCAGTGTTTCTTCCAAGTGCTCTCTCCCAGCATGTTCCTCTGTCAGTCAAGCAGCATCCTATCCTTCCTGCAGGTGAGGACGATGGCCAGCCCAGAGGACGACCTCATCGGCATCCCCTTCCCTGAGCACAGCAGCGAGCTGCTGAGCTGCCTGAACGAGCAACGGCAGCTGGGGCTGCTCTGCGACGTCACCATCAAGACGCAGGGGCTGGAGTACCGCACCCACCGTGCCGTCCTGGCTGCCTCCAGCCGCTATTTCAAGAAGCTCTTTGCAGGGCCGGGGCCGGGGCAGGAGGTCTGTGAGCTGGACTTTGTGGGGCCAGAGGCACTGGGTGCGCTGCTGGAGTTTGCCTACACAGCCACGCTGACCATCAGCAGCGCCAACATGGGCGAGGTGCTTCGTGCTGCCCGGCTGCTGGAGATCCCCTGTGTCATCGCTGCCTGCGTGGAGATCCTGCAGGGCAGCGGGCTGGAGGCACCCGGCCCCGATGACGGCGACTGCGAACGTGCCCGCCGCTACCTGGAGGCTTTCTCCACCCTCCCCGAGGGTGAGGTGCCTGCCCCGCCACCCCCCCGCCCCACCGCCCGCCGCAGCAAGAAGACCCGCAAGTTCCTGCAAGCCCGTGGTGCCCAGCTCAACAACCACGCCGAGGAGCCGCCCGCTGAGGCTGAGGGCTCCGGCAGCCCCCCGCCGCCCTCCCAGCTGCCCTCGCCGCCTCTGCCCGAGGGGCTGTCCCTGCCCTACGACAGCTTTGAGCTGCCTGAGGAGGAGGAGCTGCCCCCACACCCCTTTCCCTTCCCCTACCAGCCCCCCTTGTCCCCTGAGGAGGCAGCTTCTGACGATGACGCCATCGACCCCGACCTGATGGCGTATCTGAGCTCGCTGCACCACGAGTCGCTGGCGCCTGGGCTGGATAGCCCCGACAAGCTGGTGCGCAAGCGCCGCTCACAGATGCCCCAGGAGTGCCCCGTCTGCCACAAGGTCATCCATGGCGCCGGCAAGCTGCCTCGCCACATGCGCACGCACACGGGCGAGAAGCCCTTTGCCTGCCAGGTCTGCGGAGTCCGATTCACACGGTGAGTGCTGCTGGACGGGCTCTCCCCGCCTGACGTGTACCAAATGACATCCCCTGTGGCACCCCACCAATGCCAGTCCTACCAGGGCCTGGCCACAGGCCTGGCATGGTTCATGGGGTTTTGTGCACCCCCTGAGTGCTGCTGGACCAATCTGGGCTACCTGATGGCACACAGCACAGCACCCCTCTGCCAGTCCTGCCAGTGTGGTGCACATTCAGAGGGTCTTCTGCACCTCATGAGTGCTCTGGACCAACACAGCGTAGCCAATGGCATCCTCTGTGGCACCCCCTGCAAGTTCTCTTGTGGTGCAGTGGGGTTATGGGGCCTTCTGCACCTCATGAGTGCTGCTGGACTGACCTAAGGTACCCAGTAGCATCCCTGGTGGTGTCCCTCTGCCATAGCTGCTGGTGAAGTCAGGTCAGTGGGGTGTTCTGCACCCTGAGTGCCGCCAGATCACCAAGGCCTGATACCTGATGGCACTCATAGCACCACATCTGTCATGGTTGTGGTGCAGGTCCAGGGGAGTTTTCTGCACTATGTAAGCTCTGCCAGAGCAGCCTGGGGTAGCCGGCAGCATCCCCCCTGCCAGCAGCCAGCTGCATCTCAGCCATGCAGCCGTACGATGGCCCCTGCCCTGCCAGGCACACAGAGCCCTGCAGAGCATCCCTGCTCCCGGGTTTCCAGCACCATTGCCTATCTCTGGCTGCGGGTCTGTGTACAAATCACAAACGGGACGGGACCGCTAGGAACGTGTCTTGAGCTGTTTTATTTTCCAGCATCAGTCTCATTACATGATTATAACAACGAGAAGATGCTACTCAATGCCAATGTCTCCCTGTGTGTCCCACCTCCAGGAACGACAAACTGAAGATCCATATGCGCAAGCACACAGGTGAGCGGCCCTACTCCTGCCAGCACTGCAGCGCCCGCTTCCTGCACAGCTACGACCTGAAGAACCACATGCACCTGCACACAGGCGCCCGGCCCTACGAGTGCTACCTCTGCCACAAGGCCTTCGCCAAGGACGACCACCTCCAGCGGCACCTGAAGGGCCAGAACTGCCTGGAGGTGCGGACCCGCCGCCGCCGCCGCGATGAGCCGCCGCCGCCGCCCGCGGGGCCCCCGGGCCTCGACCTCTCCAACGGGCGGCTGGAGGGGCTGCGCCTCTCCATTGCCCGCTACTGGGCTCCAGGGCAGCCCGAGGAGGAGGAAGAGGAGCCGGAGGGTGAGGAAGGGCCACAGCCAGATGGCACTGTGCCGGTGGAGATGGCATAGGCAGGTGTCGTGCCGTTCCATGCCGAGCTGTGCCGTGCCCACTGGGGTTTCTGTTCCTGTTTTTCCCGTCACGGTTCATTCCTAGTTATGCAAAGGGGGAAACTCCCCTCGGCCGATTTGCACAAGGGGGTGGGGGGCCCCTACCACCCCCCACCGTGCCCGAGCCCACCTGGTCATGCCCAGGCGGGTGGTGGGGGGATTGGGACTTGGATGTCCCCCCACCAAACCCCTCGTGGATGCCAGGACCGGGCAGGGGCACCCATGGACCAAGGCCCCCCCCCAGGTGGGGAGAGCCCCCCCATCCTCTCCAGTGGGGGGGGGGGGCACTGCCCTACGCTGTGCATAGCTTGTCCCCACCTCCCCACTCCAAGCAGCCCCCCCCCGGCGAGCTCCCCTCGCCCCTGCACTCCCGGCTGCTTTCTCTTGGTTGCACTATTCGGGTGAGCCCACCCGGGTGTGGGGCAGCCCCGGCCCCCCCCGGACCCTTTCCCCTTCCGAAATCCCCCGGCCCTGTGGGACCCCCCCCTTCCCTGGGGTGGCCGGGCCCCCGCGGTCACCCCTCTGTCCTTTGCACATGCCCCCTGCAGGGCGCAGCCTCCCCGGGGGTGGAGGGGACCGGCACTATTTGTCTACAAATAAGAGTTTTATCTATATTTAAAAAGATGATGTAATATATTCCCCCCCACAGCCCCTCCGCTGCCAACCACCAGCGCTGCCCGGCCTCTGCCATGGGGTGCCGGGAGGGGTGATGGGGCCGGGGGGGCTCTGCTCCCGTCATGGCTTTAAAGTGCCTTATGGTGAACTTGAACCTTTTCGGCTACTTGAACCTCTCTGGTGTCAGGAACCAAACAAACCATGGGCGGGCGGCCCCCGCCCCGCCGGGCCGCCTCTGCCTGTCTGTATGTCTGTGTTTGTTTTTTTTTTTTTTAAAACGAAGGCTGCTTGGTAATAAACGGAGAAGCAGGGACTTCCCCCGTGTCCAGCTGTCTGTCCATTCTGCATCCCCGCCCTGGAGCAGCTCGGGACTGGGGGCACTGTGGGGCTGGGGACAGGGACATTGAGAGTCTGGGATACTGCAGGGATGGGGAGCAGGCACCGTGTGTGGGCTGGGGACACTGAGGGGTGGGGGCACTACAGGGAGGGGAATAGGGACACCATAAAGGCTGGGAAAAGGGATGTGTAGGGGCTGGAGGCACAGTGGGCATGGAGATGGTGACACCCAGGTGCTATAGATGGGGACTGGTGGGCATTGAGAGGCTGGGGTCACAGCAGGGATGCAGCCAGGGCAGCAAGGAGCTAGGGTATCACAAGGTCAGGACCATCACGGGATGGTGGATGCCAGCTGAGAGTACCAGGACTCAGGTGCCTTGAGGACCAGGTGATTTATTCACCAGCCCTTCCCCACCCAGTGGCTCTCAGCTTCTGCTGCACTGGTGGGGCTCCAGGCACATCCCAGCACCTGGACCCGTGGTTTTGCTGTCCCATGGCACTGTCCAGCTGTCACTGGGCCCTTGCCCTCGCTTTCACTGTTCTTGGCCTGCTGCTGGTAGCTGAAGTCTTGCTGGGAGGGAGGAGTGCAGTGTTGGCATCCAGTATCCCCAGAGCTGGGGAGGACAGGGAGCACTGCCACCCCACAGCCAGCCCTCGCCTGCAGAGCAGTCTGTTCTTGTAGCCCCCACCGCTGCCCACATCGCTCTCCTCACTCTTTTCCACCTCCTCCAGCTGGGCTCACAGCTGGGCAGCCGTTCTGGAGGGGAGCCCCGGGCCCTTGATCACGTCCTTGATCAGGTCCCTGATGCGCTGCAGCAGCCGCCGCCCTCGCTCCTGGCCCCGCAGCGCCCGCGCAGCGCCCGGCCGCAACCCCGCTGTCTCCTCCTCGTCACTCGAGTCCCTGCGGGGCACAGAGGGCAGGGCTGAGCTGCAGCCCCCCTGCACACCCACTGCAGCCCCCCAGCACCCCTCTGCTCACAGCTCCTCATCCCCAGCGTCGGGGTAGCTCAGGGGGGCCATGCAGACGGAGCAGGTGTTGTTCAGGGTTCTGTAGCACTCGCTGCAATACAGCCCTGTGGAAAACGGGGCTGTCAGGGGGGAACGGGAAATTTTCTGGGGAGGGGGTCCCCAAACTGTGGGGAGAGCTACCTTGGCATCTGGGTGTGATGCAGGTGCTGAAACCTGGCCGCCCAAGAAGCTGGTGGAGGCAGGAGACTTGTGGGCACAGGGTGATGCTCTGTGGGTCAATACCATCCTGGGGGGCCTTGACACAGACCCTCAGAGATACCACTGATCTCTTCCATCCCACCAGGGCTAACTTACCTGTATTCACAAATCTGCTGCCATCAACATACAGTTTTTGCCTGGTTCCTGCAAAGGTTCATCCCTTAAATCTTGGCATCTTGACTGCTCCACGGTGTGCAGCCAGTCACATGGAAAAGGTCCTTGCTTTTCAGTAAGGAGCAAAATGGCTTCATTTGAAGCTGATGTCACACACATGACTACTTCTCTCCCTGGTCCATTAGCACAGCTTGGTATTTTGCCAGTCAGCTTAGAGAGATCCAGTGATGTCCCTCTGGATTCCGAAGAGCCAGCAATAGCACAGTCAGAGATCAGCCCAAAGTGAATTTCTGGGCCTCCTGCATTGTTAGGGTGGTGGCTGCTATAGCCCATAAGCATGCTGACCATCCAGTTGCTTGGAGAAGGATGCCACTGGCTTTTGCCAACTTCCAAGAAGCTGTGTCGTCCCCATGGAGGCTACTTGTTGCCTTTTGTGCACACATCATGAAAAGAGTTTAGTTGTATCTGGAAGGCCTGAAGCTGGTGCTTCCATGGGCATCCCTTATGGTGTTGTTAAAACCAGTTCAACATTGTCAGGGCCATTCCAGGAATTCTTCAGGGCCTTTGATTGCCAAATGAAAGGGGTTGGCTACTAGTCCAAAATTTTGAATCTGTATGGGGCAAAATTCTGCCACTAACAAAACTCCTGTTATCTTTTAGTCCTAGGAGCTGCAATTTGGAATATCATTAATTTTTTCCTTCCCCCAGAGCTCACTGTCCTTTTGATACCTTAAAGCTAAGATATTAGTCTTACCTTTTTTTCTGGAAATCCCAGCAAGTCCCAAAAAGTTCTGCAGGCTTATGGTCACTTTCAAGCAGGTTTGTTCCTTGTCAGCTCCAATTAGGATGTCATCTACACACTGTGAAAGAACACTGCTACCTTTTTTCCATTTCTCTAGTTCTTTTGCCAAAACCACCAAATAAAGTGGGCTTATCTTTGAATCCTTGAGGGAACACTGTCCAACTGCATCTTTCTTCCAGCCACAGGATTCTCTCAATTCAAAGACTGGCTTTGCTCATCTATTGGGATGCTTTCTATTGAGAGAAAGTATCCTTTAAGGCCAAAACAGTAAAATAAGAGTTTGTTTCCAGCACTGAGGTTAACAAGCCATAAGGATTTGGTACACTTGGATGTATATCTGTGCATGTTTGATTGATTACTCTTAAACTTGTACTAATCTGCACTCTTGAGAACAAGGCTTCTTTGAAACCTGGAGGAAGGCATCTAAAACTCAGGTTGGCATTGTCTGAGTATGCCAAATTGTAAAAATGTGTATGTCCATGGTTCCAGACCTTTCTGTGCTTCTGTCTATACAGGATATTTATTCATTCTTAAGGGTTTAACTTTTGGTTCTGAGCTTTTTCTCTTAACTGGAGACACATTCTCTGTTTTACCTCATTTTCCTGTGTCCCATGCGGATCACTGCATTTCAAATGGCATCCAGAATATTTTCTCCAATGCCCTCTGATGGCTTACACATTAACAGGCAGACCTGAGCTTTCCAGACTGTCTCAGGTGGAATGTGAAGCTGCAAGGTATTCCCAGAAAAGATTTAAGATTTGGTGCATTTAAATTACAAAACATATCTCACCCCAGCAAGGGAAGGGGTCATTGATGGCATGTGTAGAAACGGATTAGTTATTTTAGTGTCACCAGCTGTACGTGCCATGGGTGGTAGGAGTGGCTACAAAGCTCATTTTCCTGCTGCCCCAACAATCTGTACTGGAGCTTTCCTCAGCAGGCCCTTGCAGCCAGTTACTTCTGAAGATGTGGCTCCATTTCCCAGCTTTACTGGAACCAGAGTATCAACTGGGCATGCCCTGATATTTTCCCTTGATCCCCTTGCCTCACTGCCAAAATCCTCCATCATCATAATATTTACCTCTTATAATGACCCCTTCTGTCAACAAATAGCACGTTCAGGCAAAGACCTCTGAATCTCCAGCCCATTCCTCTTATTCCTCCTTCTCTAACACCATTCTTTTTTCTTCCACAGTACAAAAGTTTGGTCCTTAAGTAGTTACACTGCTCCCATGCCACTGACTGATCAAGGCCCACTGCCCAGTGTTTCCTTGTGACTGACATGGAGGTTGATCCCACTGATCAGTCACACTGATAAATCTACACCTTTTGTAGAAGCAATATGAAAAAGGAACAACAGTGCACTTACCAATCCAATAATTCCATCCATCCATCCATCCATCCATCCATCCATCCATCCATCCATCCATCCTTGCTTGAATATCCCCGGAGCATTTCCCTTTGGATTTGCTCACTGCCATGATGCTGAAGCAGCTTTGGAGTCCCTGATCACCTGCCTGGTGCCCACTGGAGTCCTGTCTGCTCTGATTCTCCAGGGGCAGCAGGATGCTCCAGGCAAGGCCTCATGGCCACCCCATCTGGGTCCCCACAAGGTCCCCAAGCGGGTTCCTTCCCACAGTGTGCCAGGAGCTGATCCACACCCAGAGCTGGGTGTTTGTTTCCTTTGTGTCTGTGTGGAGATGGGTGCAGGGCCGTGAATCCTCAGGTGCCAGTCACCCGCTTTGATGCACTTCAAAGAGCAACAGATCCACATTTCCCATAAACACCACGATCCAAAGCTGTAGATAAGGTATGGATCAGCTGTAGCCATGGGCTGCAACTTCCTTTGTCTCTTCTTAGAGCTCCAGAGCACGATATTTCCTGTGTGTGCCCTCTGGAAGGGTACCAAAGCCTTCTTGCAAGTCAGTGGAGATGGCTGCTAGCTGCTTCTTGGAGCTTTGGACCGTGGAGTTACAGCCTTGCAGAGCAATGTGAGTGTTGGAAAGGGAAGTCAGGACTTTACAAGATGCAAAGGCAATCACACAACATCTAATTATACTCCAGCACAGTGGTGCTATGAGCAGCAATGCAGTGTAGAACAGCAATATGTGGTGGCACACATTGCTCACAAGCAAAGGCACTGATATGGGAAAAGTAAGATTTTGATTTCCCAGGGGATCCTGAGGGATGGGATGGAAATACCTTAAGTGAGTCCTCAGACTCCAAGGCTGAGCTTTAGCCAGATTTAGCAGGAAGGGAGGGGGTAGAAGCACAACCCCTCATACAAATGGAGGGGCAGAGGGATCTGCTAGATGGAGCAGTGCACTTATACTCCAAAATGTAATTTTTGGAGATCTATCAGCAGAAGAGAGGAGAAGACAAACTGATAAGGGTTTTGTGAGCTTGGAATAGCGGGGCTGTGTCGGTCCACTTATTAATTGGTGCAAAAATCTATTAAATCCTAAGGCAGTAAGGACCAGCTATCTTGGGGATGTGCTCAGGGACAGAGTGAGGTCAGGGGTCCTGTTTGGCAGGACATTGCCACCCCCATGCTGTATCAAGGGCTGTGTGCAGCAGCTTGAACAGCACTTCAGACATTGATGAATTAGTGCCATCCCTCAGAAGCTGATGTTCCAGGCAGAAGGTTTTAGTTTCCTGCAGCAGATGGGGACGGCTCACGCTCTAATTACAGGATCTAGTCTGGATGGGGCAGCAGTAACTAGAAGTATCAAAATACAGCTTTTGAGAGGGGTGCCTGTTTCACTGAAGACCTTGATTACACCAGCCACCACAGTGCTACCAGTAATAGAGGTGTCCTAGCAAGCACCTTAGGGGAAATTTGGACTCTAATTTCAGAACCAGCTGTGCGGGTGGTGAATGAAAATCATCTGGCAAAACTGAAGACTTACCTCACGTGTGACGAGGAAACAAATGTGGAATGATCTTGTGCAAGTGTCCCATGATCAGAAATAAATAGGA